CCTATCTGAAGGACGGGACCCGGGACGTGAGGGGGCATCCTTCTGCGACCTGGTTACCGGCATCTTGAACGCAATCTTCTGTTTCTTCTGAACTTCTTCTAGCAGGGATCCGGCTCGAAGGACCAACTGTTTCGGACGACCAGAACCAGGGTATGTCTAGTACCCGGAGGTCGACCTGGGACAATCTCCCAGACGTTCTTGGCGTACACGGCAGTATGTCCGTTCGCTGGTAATGTACGCCACCACGCACCCCTGAATGCGTAGCTTGGGTCCCGATCCACTAGGGTTTCTTCGTTGACAGGAGACTATACTTAGAGGCGATGAAATAAAACACAATTTTTCCTTTTTTCTCTCTTGGTTTCGGTTCTTCCTTTTCCTTTTAGTTGTTGCCTCTTCGGTGGCTGTCTTGCGACTGACTCGAATCGAGAAATGGCTCGCCTTTTATTTGGCCCGTTAATACCTTACAGAGAGCCGCATACTTTGAGCTCATTTTTCGAGTAAAATTTCCCTAAACCGAAACCTTGAGAGTCCTTTTATTTTATGTTTTCAGTAAAACACCTTACACATATTTATTTATTTACATGCCTTACATACTTTTATACAATATTAAAACATAATATTCAATATATAATAATTAATTAAAAAAGTCTTAAAACAAAAATATCTAAATTTCTAGGTTGCTACATTTTTACTATACATTTTCCCTTATAACTTTTGAACGGATAGTCCTATCGACCTAATTCTTGTTTTATTATAAGTTTTATAATAAAATCTATTATTTAAAACATAAACTATTATGCTATTGCAAGAAACAAAAAATCTCATTTTCAAGTTACGTAATTATATGCTAACATTTTACTTACGTACCTATTCCTTTCAAATTAATGTTAAATAGTCTTATATGATTCAAATAAGCAAAAAATACTCTAAACTAACCTTATTACACTAATTAGAACTTATTTTAACATAATAAATCTAATAAGAATGAGATTTCATATTTACAACAATTATTCATAATACGCTAAAATGACATTGTCCCTATATTAATACACACGTTACTCGAAGATAAGTTTTCCGTCGCCGACAGATTAGTAATTATACTCGTATAAAATAATAGACTCAATGAATGCGAACTCAATAAACATATGAAATAGCTAATATTGTTATTAAGATCTTAGAATATAAGCCTGTAGTGTCCCACTGCAGGGCAAAGGCCTCCCTACTCTTCCTCCACTGCTCCGTATGAATCTGTACTACAGTAAATATTTTTTGGAAAATTTTATTGAAATAGACATTATTGTCGATACAGAGGCCGAATCTATAGTTTTTAGAATTTTGCTTGTTATTGCTCGATGATATCAATAGGTGAAGTTTTATTTGTTAAATTTACCTAGTCCAAAAATATTTAAGTTATTAACATATTTGTCACCAGATGTCGTCATGTGCTTTTAAAATAATTTTAATAGAATAACTATCATCGCCCGCGGCTTCGCCCATGTTCGAACTACTAGTAGAAACCAAACTCTTTTACATATTAGTATACATATATGAATACCATTTTTTAACGTAAATATTCATATTCGTAATTTACAAACACTTTCATTCATTGAAAATTGTTCCAGTTAACAAAATAGGTACTACTAAAACATATAATAAAATTCTAACTGAGTCGAATCTGTATACATTATTAAATATTTTTTTGAAAATCTTATTGAAATAGACATTATTATTGATACAGAGGCCGAATCTACAGTTTTTAGAATTTTTGTCTGTTTGTCTGTCTGTCTGTTACCGCATCACGAAAAAACCACTGGAGGGATATTGATGAAATTTGGTATGGTCATAGCTGGTTCTCCAGGTCAACATATAGCATACTTTTTACTGCGGGAAAATATCTCATCTCTGAGAAATCTACATATATACTAAACGTGAAAAAGTAACTAGGAACGAACCCAAGCGGAAGCGAGGTATTCTAAGAAATTAATTAAATTTCTAAGAAATCTATTATTAACTGTAACGCCGGCGTGTCCGCGTTCGTTGAGGGAATAATATGTAAAAGAGTTTGGTTTTTAGTCGTTCGAACGCGGGCGGAGCCGCGGGCAATGCTAAACAAACTATAATTTTACTATCCATACTAATATTATAAATGTGAAAGTGTTTATTTGTTTGTTTGTCCTTCTTTCACGTCGAAACGAAGTGACGGATTGACGTGATTTTTTGTGTGGAGATAGTTGAAGGCCTGGAGAGTGACAGGCTATTTTTTATCGCGGGACATTACCTAATTCTCACGGAAAAACACTATAATACAATCCAAAATTTTTGTTGTACAGAACTACTTGAAACTTAGTATTATTGCTCTTGAATAAAATTAAATAAATACGTGTTTTAGCATTTTTCGAAATTCATCATATACTCGTAATAGGGTAAAATAGAGGATAAAAGTTTGTATGAAATTACATTTTCCGAGATTTTTTTGTAGTTTTAGCGCGAGCGAAACCGCAGGTTCTGCTAGTATTTAATAAATCAATATAAAATGAATCAAAATCCGCTACATTTGATCTAGTTTAAGAGAAATTTTATACATTTTTTTAAATAAAAAATATATCCATTAAAAACCAAGCAAAAACGTGACTTGAACGACAACAAAAAAAAGACATAAGTAACTGTTACTCGTATTGTGATTTGCACTGGACGTTTTTTGCAATGAAGTTATTGACCTTACGGTGATACAATAACTTGACCGATATATTACGAGCAAGTTAATATTAAATAGATTGCATGGCTGGTAGGGCTAAGTATTAATTATTAGTTCTTGTAAGTAAACTAAAAACAATTTATTAATATCGATAACAGATTATAAAAAAAACATAATCGTATAATATACTCACAGCAGTCTTAATTGATCATATTTTTTTATGCAATGCTTACATTAAATAATTACTTTTAAGTGAGTTTAAAGTCGGTGAGGTACATTCATTTTTTTCTATATTTAAGTGAGGCATTTGAGATATCGATATAACGGTACCGTATTTATTAATAAAAGAAGAATAAAAATCGATTTTTAGTTCGCAAAAGCATCGCGTGACAAAGTACACAAAAAATAGCTGAATTAAGAATTTTCTCCTTTTAGAAAGAAGTCGGTCAGAAATAATATACCTACGTTATATTACTTATAAAATTAATTTATTTTTAATGCTTCTTATTTATATATTTTATAGTATTATCCATGTCTATACTAATTACAAACATTACAAATGTGAAAGTTTGTGAGGATGGATGTTTGTTACTCTTTCACGCCCGAACGGCTGAACGGATCTGGGTGAAATTTGTCACAGAGATATAGTCTGGAATAGCACATAGGTTACTTCTTATCCCGCAAAAATTTACCGTTCCTGTGGGATAGATTTGTGTTTGTCTATGTATGTATGTATGTATACGAACCCGAAGCGAAACGAGGGTGAGTCGCTAGTAATATATAAAAGTGTTTGATTAATATCTAGTTTGCTGTTATCATTTTCATGACTATTGCAAGTCACAACATCCATATGATCACAGTACATATGCATGCTTGCGAGCCCGTCATTAGATACTTGAGTGTTTATTGTTTAATCTATACATATAATAAAATTGTAACTAAGCCGAATCTGTACATTAAATATTTTTTGTAAAATCTTATTGAAATATACATTATTATCGATACAGAGGCCGAATCTATAGTTTTTAGAATTTTTGTCTGTCTGTCTGTTACCGCATCACAGAAAAACCACTGGAGGGATTTTGATGAAATTTGGTATGGTGATAGCTGGTCCGGGTCAACATATAAGATACTTTTTACTGCGGGAAAATATCTCATCTCTGAGAAATCTATAGTAAACGTTAATAAGTAACTAGTCGCTAGTGTGTATATAAGCACGAGATAATCTTAATATAAAACATCATAAATTATTATCTTAAGTTAACCTATAAGAGTAATTATAGGATTCATTTCGTCTGTTCTCTTTATGTGTACCTAATTACCTACTTAACGAGTAAAGTAATTAAAATATAATTATGTAGTGATCGTCCACGTTCTGAGGGCCTAGACAACTAAGGTTTCGGACAGCCTGTATTAATTCGCTAGTAGTAGGTATATGTAATATGTATGTATGTACCTATAGTATTCGCTTAGGGTTTGTACTGCAATCACAACAGATGCTTACAATGCAATTCATATACATATGTATGTACGAGTATACCTTTTTTACGATAGAACAAAACGAAAACTTTGGTCTATATAGCCAACACCGAACACGTGCTAGTGTGGAGACAGCGTTTAGTCAAGCATGGGTAGGGCGTTCTGAAGCACGATGGTTCTAGACTCTAGAACATACGATAAGTGGTGGGTAACAAATGAATGCGGCCTGCTAAGCTTATTTTATTTATGCGAAATTTTTTTTGTATATGTATGTGTAATTCTTTCGAAAACTAGCTCGGTTGGTTCTCTCAAACATACAGGTTTCCTCAAATATTGTTCTATCTGTTGGTATCCTATATGTTGACTCGCATAACCAGCTATCATCATACCACATCAAAATCTGTCCAGTGTATTTTTCGTGATGCGTTCTCAGACAGACAGACAAAAATTCTAAAAACTATAGATTCGAGCTCTGTATCGATAATAATGACAATTTCAGTGAGATTTTCCAAAAATTCTTTAATGTACGACTCCGCTAGAATTTTATTATATGTATAGATATAAAATTTATCAACAACACATTATTATACGGGAACTATTGATGTCGACACGGCTTAGGGTTGAAAATCACGTAACTCATTCTGTAAATAGCAGCTCTGCAATGACAACGAATAGTTACGCGCAGTGTTCTAAGCGACTCGGATAGGGAAGTGCGTGCGTGATGCGTCCCTCAATACTGTACTTCGCGATCATTACGTTTACCAATAATTATGTATATAGTGCACGAATTCTTGGACTATTTCCACACATGGGAAAGAGCCACCAAATGGTTTTTGAACCGCTTTTACTAAAACTCGCTGAAAGGGGACATCATGTTACTGTTGCATCTTTTTTCCCCCAAAACAATCCACCACCGAATTACACCGATATTAGTTTCGAAGGAATCGCTGAGATCGGAGTGGAAAGTTTCGATCTAAATTGGTATGAAAACCCTAGTTTTGTTATGCGGATACCGATAATAGGACGGATTGTTAAGCAATTATCAGAGTACGATCCCCTCGCTGGTATGGCTTTGAATGTTTGCAGTAAGGCAATAGATTGGCCGCCTTTAAAAGAAGCTCTTAAAAATCAGTACGATGTTGTTTTAGTCGAAAACTTTAACAGTGATTGTATGTTAGGTCTATTACACGTGTACGAGATAAATGCACCGGTTATCGCTTTGTTATCCTGCACCACGATGCCATGGACCGCTGAGCGCATCGGGACGACGGATAACCCATCGTATGTTTCTGTTGCGAGCGCAACATTTATTTCACCGATGACGTTTTTAGAACGTATGGAAAATACATTTTTACTCATTTATCATAAATTATGGTTCCGGTATAAGATTCAAGTAAAAGAACAGGCTCTTATTGAAAAGCATTTCGGTAGAAAAATTGTAGATCTTGATGATTTAGCAAGGAATATGTCTTTATTGCTTGTAAACACTCATCCAACTTTAAACGGAGCTCGGCCTCTCGTGCCGGGTCTTGTAGAAGTTGGTGGCATGCATTTGGGTTCAACGAAGAAAGTTATACCTGAGGTGAGTACATTGAGTATAATATGTATTTACTATTTACGTAAAAAAAGTTAAATAATTGAATTAAATATTGATGAATAATTAAATAAAATATTTGAAATTTAAATATTAATTTTAAAAGATTTTAAATAATAAACCTATATTTTTATACAATTATATTTTAATTACTACAATTGTATATATTTCTTAACATATAACAATGAAGTTTACATAAGTTTAATTAAATATTATGAGCAGAGATACTAAAATAGTATACCTATCTATTATTATTCATTATCTGCCTAGTGGTTTTTTCGTGATGCGGTCACGGACAGCCAGACAGACAGACCAAAATTCTAAAAACTATAGATTCGGCCTCTGTATCGATAATAATGTCTATTGCAATAAGATTTTCAAAAAAATATTTAATGTACAGATTCGGCTTAGTTAGAATTTTATTATATGTTTAGATATTCAACAGTAGTAAAAAATATAAAATAGTTAAACTAATAAATTAAAATTTTAAAATATGAGATATATGATGAAAAGTAGGTACGATTGAACGATTAAGTATCTATTTATTGAATTGATTAGTGACGAGTATCTCAGTCATAGGTCCGGGGCCGTGCGTTAGATTTTCTCAGTATGATGCAAGTTTTGAAATACCGCCCCTAGGTAATTTTCATTACAAATTAGGGTTCCGTAGGCAATATTAAAAAACAGAGACCGTATAATTTTAATTTCGTCATATTCGTCTGTCTGTATATCACAGTAATTTTACTCAAATACTAAATTAGAGCTATGTTGTTGAATAATTGAGCAGCCAAATGATTTAAAATAAAAACTGAGGCTCTCTCTCCTGATATATGGAACTGCGGTATTAAAAATTATTTAGTTTACATAACCGTAGGCTATTTGTGTCTTTAAAATTTTGATACATACTTAGAAACTTCTAGTGTACCTAGTTGAGATCCCAAATTATTTCAATGAAAATTATTTTAAAAGAGATGCGTTGACTAGTTTTTGAGATATGGGATATTCTTAATACCATGCTTTTTTCCGTAAAATTTACTATTCATTTACAAATTCATTACAATCGATAACAATCATGTTATCATGTACATGTCAAGAAAATAAATTGATTATATTGTTAAATAATACAAACAGTAATGAAAATATTTACGTACCAAGGTCCCAAATGACGTCGTAAATTTTACTTTGTGAGATTTTGACAAACTTCTAACCTGTACACCGGCCACTGGTCGCCTGAACGTGGTTCGTTTGAAGGGTCAAGGGGTAGGGAATTTGACTGTTATGTATAGAAAGAATAATTTATTTTCTTCAAGTTGAATTAATAGTATATAATGAATTATTTTTTCCTACAAAACTATTAAATCACGACGAAAGTAAACAATAAGCATTTTAACTTTTTATTCACGCAGTTATATTCTTTAATATCTAATATGTATAATATCTAATATATATCTTATATCTTTAAACGAAACGGCTCTTAACGATTTCGCTGAAAGATTTCAGAATTCCGGCGATCTCGGAACCGGCTCTAGGTGTAGGTTTTCGGAGGCGAAAAATCGATCTAGATTAGTCATATGTCTGAGAAAACGCGTGTTTTCGAGTTGTCATGCGGTTTCCGCGCAAAATACATATATCTATACATATAATAAAATTGTAACTAATCCGAATCTGTACATTAAATATTTTTTGGAAAATATTATTGAAATAAACATTATTATCGAGCCAGAGGCCGAATCTATAGTTATTAGAATTTTTGTCTGTCTGTCTGTCTGTTACCGCATCACAGAAAACCGCTGGAGGGATTTTGATGAAATTTGGTATGGTGATAGCTGGTTATCCGGGTCAACATATAAGATACTTTTTACCGCGGGAAAATATATACTGAGAAAAAATACAAAAACTGAATTATAAGAGTATACTAATTTGTAAAACCTAAGAATTTGGTTTTTGGTCATCTGAACGCGGTTGGAGCCGCGGGCAATGCTAGTATATAATATATATGTACATATATATAAAATATAATTTCTCAAATAATCGTGGTCAAGCGGCCAAGACGCAAGATTGACAATCACAGGTGTCGAGTTCGAGCCCCGGTCGGATATAAAATTTTTACTTTTATTTTTTTTATATTTATTCAAGTTTTAAGTTTTTATTCTAAAGGAAATTGTACTTTTGACCAAAAACTCCGAGTGACGTTTTGTTATCTAGGTACTATATTTTAAATGTAACAAAATAACAATTAATAGAACGTCTCATTATTTTATAATAATTACTTTCTAATTGCAAAATTTTGAAATCTGCACCGTGTTGGTAATGAAATTTTGACAATATTATTTGTTTTTTAATTTACTAATTACATGAATATAAAGTTAATTTTATGTGATAAATATAACTATGTAGAATATCTAAAATATAAAAAAATGTTTCTTTGGAGTACGTAGTTACGTTTATTTTTTGTAGGTCATGTGATTTCAACGAAATGGTAGTACTATCGATTGTAGTTCTGATGATCTAGATATAATCTGCATTAATAGCATATCTAACAAGCAACTTATCTCGACAATTTTATCATATTAATATTTTCAAATAATGAGAATGCATCTATTAATAGAATATAGGAATTCTTTTCATTTTAAAGAAAACTTTTTTTTTACTTCTTATCAATTATCTGCTGCCAGTCTACAACTGCTGTTCAGTTATGAATGAGTCTTGCTTGCTATTTTTTTTATTTTTCAAAATTTTTTTTGTGTTTATGGCAACATCACGTTATAGTTCACCAAAACGAGAACAGTCACTGTACATGTACGAGGGTTTATTTAATCTAGAATTGGTGCTTTAGTCGTTTGTTTAGAGCTGCACACGAAACTCATTACAGATAAATAATAAGCTGACTGATAAATTAATGTCTTCTATAAACATTTGTGTGTAAAATATATTCTTTATAATTTTATTTTTAAATATTTTGTTACCTACTATATAATGGCTTTAAATGCTGCCCCTACTTTGTGCCGCCTGATACGGCCGTATCTTTGCTTCATATCACCGCACGGCCCTGCATAGGTCAGGGACCAGGGTTATTGTGATATTAACATACATACCTACGTATATGATTTTATCATTTCTATTTATCCATTTGTACGTCACAACCGTTATACTTGACACTGTAAAGCTGAAGTCAAAGAAAATTAGGGATGACACTGTTCTCCTAATCAAGGAATGAGAAAAAAAATCAAGTACACATTAGCATGTGGGTTATCAACTTCAAAAATTAAAATAGTAATAAAGACGTATAAAATGGCTTTTTTATCAAAGTCATTGGTCTGTGAGGTATGCAATTTGCTTCAAAATTGTAAACCAGTTCCTCCCAATCTATACATGTATGCTTATATAACAATAAATTGAAGCGTCTGTCTATTTTTAAAATAGCTTCCCCATGATGAACTCAAATGATTGGTTGCATGATATCAAGGAACTCGTATATTAAAAGTAAGAATTAGGTACTAAAAAGATTATCTATCGGTTTAAAGTTTTTAACACGTTATTATCCGAAACGGCTTTTAATGGCTTTGGTGACGGATAGAAGAAAGTGATATGATATCTTTTTCTTCAAGGGTTTCAGGATACGAGTTAGAAATTTTGAGATTTTTAGCAAGGTAGGCAAGTAGGTACATGAAGGACCGAAGTAAGGTTACAATAATTTTCAAATAGGTAAATAATTAATAATTATATTACCGTAGCACATATATATTATTTACTATTCAGAGAAGACAAGTTTGGCTCAGTTTGTAGTGACCATACTTGCTGTGCCAGCGGTCGCGGGTTCGAGTTCCGCTGGGGGCATTTATTTGTGTGTTGAGCACGAATGTTTGTACTCCAGTCATGGGTGTTTATATTTATAATATGTATGTATTGAAAGTTATATATGTGTAGTGTATCAACTATCTGGTATCCATAACACAAGCTCCGTAGCTTACCATGGAACTAGATGGTGCTGTGTGTTAATGTACCAACATATTTATTTATTTTATCTTTGCTGGCGATTCCACTCCACACACGTAATATGTATCTTTTTCTCTTAGAAATAGCGTAGCTGGTGTTTAATAATAAAAACCATTTTTAGAACATTTTTAGTAGTTAATTACACATAAAATATTGAAACAGATCAATGATATCACATATTAAGTACTACGATGTAAGTTAATACATAAAAAAAACAACGTGAAATTGTGAATCACGGTTGCAAATCACGTAACTCATGCTGAAAATACCAGTCGCCTACAATCAGTGGCGGCGCGGCGGCGCGCAGTGTTCCAAGTGACTTGCGGTAGACAAGTGTTCGCGATGCGTGCTTTAGTACTATATTTCGCGATCGTCGCGTTCACCAATTATGTAAATAGTGCGCGAATTCTTGGACTTTTCCCCCATACGGGAAAAAGTCACCAAATGGTTTTTGAACCACTTTTACTAAAACTCGCTGAAAAAGGACACCATGTCACTGTTGCGTCTTTTTTTCCCCAAAAAAATCCGCCACCAAATTACACTGATATCAGTTTCGAAGGTATTGCAGGTGTTGGAGTGGAAACTTTCGACCTAAATTTATATGAAGATCTTGGTTTTATTTTGCACGTACCAATATTAGGTCGAATTCTTCAGCAATTAGCAGAATTTGGTCCCCTCGGTACTATGGCTTTAAATGTGTGCAGTAAGGCCGTAGATTGGCCGCCACTTAAAGAAGCTCTAAAGAGAGAATACGATATTGTATTATTGGAAAACTTTAATAGTGACTGTATGTTAGGTCTCTTACATGTGTATGAAATAAGGGCGCCTGTAGTGGCTTTGACATCTTGTGCCCCTATGCCATGGTCAGCTGATCGCATCGGGGCAACAGATAACCCATCTTATGTTCCTGTTGTAAGCTCGTCGTTTAGTACCCGGATGACGTTTTTAGAACGTATGGAAAATACATTTTTGCTCAATTATCATAAATGGTGGTTCCAAAACGAGGTACAAGCGAAAGAACAGGCTTTCATCGAAAAACAATATGGCAGAAAAATTCCAAATCTTAATGATTTAGCAAAGAATATCTCTTTATTGCTTGTGAACACTCATCCAACTTTGAACGGAGTTCGACCTCTCGTGCCGGGAATTGTAGAAGTTGGAGGCATGCATTTGGATCATACGAAAAGAATTATACCACAGGTTAGTTGATATACTGAACAGTTAAACGGTCGACCGTATTTAAGTAGAAAACAAAAGTTATTAATATAATAATAAGTTAAAAAAGTTAATTATTAATAATTATTTTAGATCACAAAATTACACATTTTCTTTTTAATTTTATGAATAACTTAGCTTGCTTCCCCATACAAACTTTCATCCCCAGTTTCACTTCCTTAAGGGGTGATTTCCAGGATGAAAAGTATCCTATGTCCTTCCCAGGGTATCAGACTATCTCCTTACCAAGTTTCATCTAAATCGGTTCACTAGATTCAGAGATTACCCCCTACAACGTCACAAACTTTACCTCGTTATAATATTAGTAAATGCAAATGTTTAAGTAATTAGAACACAAGTCAATATTTCATAGGGTTTCATGTACGCCGATTATATGAATAAATCCGGTAAACGTAAGCGGATATTGCATACCTCCTAGTATTTGATTCATTTATACATTATCATATCTATATATAATATCAGTATCGTTGTATATGTAAAAAGTTTTTTTTATAATAATTATTATCTATACATATAATATAATTATAACTAAGCCGAATTTGTACGTTAAATATTTTTTGGAAAACCTTATTGAAATAAACATTATGAAGAGGCCGAATCTATAATTTTTAGAATATTTGTTTGTCTGTCTGTCTGTCTGCCTGTCTGTTACCGCATGACAGAAAAACCACTAGAGGGATTTTGATGAAATTTGGTACAGTGATAGCTGGTTATCCGGGTCAACATATAAGATACTTTTTACTGCGGGCAAATGTCTCATTTCTGAGAAAAAATACAAAAACTGCAATGTAAGAGTATACTAATATGTAAAACCTAAGAATTTGGTTTTTGGTCACCTGAACGCGGGCGGAGCCGCGGGCAATGCTTTAAACGATAAAATTATGCAAGGTGATATTATCTATTTATTATTATTGAGGTTAACATAAGTATACGTACTCGTATAGGCATAGATATTTTTAATTCACATCCTTCTATATCTATAATCGCATTAAAATCTATAAAAAACTAACCAATACTATATACAGTGCTGTATAGATTCGAATGTAAGTCATATATTTATACATTTTAATTTTATAATACATACTATATTAAAATTGTACAAAAAATACACATAGTTTTTTTTTACGAAAATGCAACTTGGACAGTTATAATTAAATTTTACACAATGATCTGGTTACATAAGTTATATGACGTACAAAAAAGTGGAATTAAAATTTTTGTCTGCATGTCTGTCTGGGAACGCATCAAGAAAAAACCACTTTACAGATTTTATAGCTGGTTATCCGGGTCAACATATAGGTAGGATACTTTTTACTACGAGAAAACATCTCATCTCTGAGAAATCTATAGGTACTAACCGCTAAAACGTACCGTAAAACCGTTAGGTAAATATAATACGAACAAAAAATCTATAAAGTGATTTGATTATATAATATACTTATACATAATATAAATGTCATTCAGGTAAATAAAAAAAACTTATTGAAACAAGTTTCTCATAAAGAATGAATTCTTAATATAATTTATAATATAATTAATTGTTTAGTCTCGAGACTCGTTAAAAATTACAAATTCTTGATATGAAATTTTAGATAGTGACTTATAACAACTTGATTACTATACGTAGTTTTTTTTTATTCTGGACCTGCCTGGGCACAAACTGATAGATTTGATCCAAGTATTGCTAAATTGAAATCGATTCATCCGTTTAGGCGCTACGATGCCACAGACAGATAGACATATACACAGACACACAGTTACATAGATACACACGTTGAACTTATTACTTCTCTTTTGATGTCAAAAGGAAGTCGCCGGAAAGTGTCTATCTGTGTGTATGTAATCTTGAGAAATACTTAGTTAAGTATTTCTCAAGATTGGCCATCAGTTAATCAGTCATCAGTTAATCAGTTGATTAGGATGCGGTTTTTGTTGTTATGATGTGCATTTCTCATTGCAAAATTTCCTTAGCACTGATAGGATCTGAGCATTGCCGGTTTTAGTGAGCGGAGTCGGCAGTAAAAGCGATGCTTGGTTGCTTTATCGACGTGCGCTGCATAAAATATGTATCTGTTTAAATGTCTACTTGAACGACGACATACATTTTAATCTTTATAAAAATAAATTATTTCATCATCATAAGTATTTATTTGAGATTATATTTGTTTGCTTATTTATAAATAATTAGTGTAATGTTGATAATATAGTATAGTCATATATAGTGTAGGAGATAATGAAAATAAATCTGAAAAGTGGTAACAAATAAAAAACTAACAAGTAGTATAAAGAGTGCCTGGTCGAAAGAGCTTCGCTGGGTGTTTTTAGGTATTTATAAACATAAACTTAAAAAACCAAACCTTATCTAAATACAAAATTTGATCCAAATCGTTAGAGCCGTTTTCGAGTACACGAAATAAATTTATTTATACAGTTTTTTTGCTATTTATAACTTAATTTATGAGAATATATTACAAATAAAATCTAAATATTTTTACTAAAGAGAAAACAGGGACTTATGATATAATAAGTAAAATAAATAGTCTCACAATCTCATTATTAAATTCAATTGAAACGTCTGGTACAAAAAATCTTATTAAAAATAAACCGCGAAAATATCTGAAAGTGTGTTTTTATTTATAACTAACGACCTAAATATATACGTTTCCAATAGATAAAAATAGTTATTGTGAGCACCTCTGTAAATAGACATATATGCTATCGCAGACTTCCTTGTAGTTCTTCTTAAGACCTACAATTTTCTATTGTATTGTTTTTTGATAAAACACTCAACAACACTCACTCACTCAACAACTGAGCCAAATTAGTTATTTATTACCCAGTGGAAAAGAGTCCCGAGAAATAAGCTAAAAGCTTTTCAGTACTTTTTACGTGAAAAGTGAACAAATAAATTTATGTACTAACAGACTAATATACCTATATGTCTAGCCTAGTAGTATGTATAGTCTATACATATCATAAAATAGTAACTAAGTCGAATCTGTATATTAAGTATTTTTTGGAAAATCTAATTGAAATAGACATTATTATCGATACAGAGTCCGAATCTATAGTTTTTTAAATTTTTGTCTGTCTGTATGTCTGTCTGTTACCGCATCACGAGAAAACCACTGGACATATTTTGATGAAATTTGGTATGATGATCGCTGGTTATCCAGGTCAACATATAGGATACTTTTTACCGCGGCAAAATATCCCATTTCTGAGAAAAAATACAAAAACTGCATTGTAAGATTATACTAATATGCAAACCTAAGAATTTGTTTTTTTGTCATCTGAACGCGGGCGGAGCCGCGGGCAATGCTAGTCTTGATAATAAAAGTGTTAAAGATAATAATTTAAAAGGCTTTGAATAAGAGAACCTTGATCTTGATATTGCCGTTGACCTTTGGCGCAACGCTTGAAGTCGGAAGTTCAAACCGCACAATAAGTATTAGTTGTAAGAGACAAGTGAAATATCCTCGCTTGGCTCGAGTGCGTTCATAGGTACGTACATATAGCTTTGCTACAAATAAATAGATCTTTAAGAGAATTCCGTAATACATTGTTTTCATATAACTCTATTGGTTTAAATAAAACTATCTTTTCGGATTTTTTCGCGAATTTACAATCCTTTACAGCAATCATGGTCACGGGAGGTCTCTCATGACTATGATATGATATCCATCCCGTGACCATGATTGCTGTAAAGCATTCGAAACGTCGCGTCGGGAACCAAAAATCAAAATAAATTCGCGAAAAAATCCGAAAAGATAGTTTTATTTAAAATGTCAAATAATCGCGTAAATCTATTGGTTTAATAAAACGTAGTGTATTTTAGTTTCTAGTATATTGTTAGGTCATCTTGTTCGGTTTTGTGTTGAGTATCGAGTACGTAGGGAATCTTCTATTTCGAAAAGAAATAGGTAAATATAACGAAATCTATACATATATGACAATCTGAATCGAATCTGTATTTTTTTTTTGGAAAATCATATTGAAATATACCTTATTATCGATACAGAGGCCGAATCTATAGTTTTTAGAGTTTTTGTCTGTCTATCTGTGACCGCATCACGGAAAAACCACTGGAGAGATTTTGATGAAATTTGGTATGGTGATATCTGGTTATCCGGGTCAACATATAGATTATATACTGCGCCAAAATATCTCATCTCTGAAAAATCTATACAAACCGTTAAAACGCATCTAGGCTAGTGCAATAAATAAAATTTAAAAATGAAATTCGTTGGTAAACGCAATACTAGCGAACGGCTAGATCGATTTGGATTGTTTTTGTTGTAAATGTTGAATTAGGTTTATAGAGAAGAAAAGAAATTTTGAACAGAAAATTGAGAAACTCGTGTATTATTTTTGTATTGCCTTAAAAATCATAAATCAATTTATTGAAATTAGAACAGGAGAACGTCTGTCAGATAAGCTAACATGTACATATGATTAAATCAAAAGATATTTAAAATAAGTTGTAAATGTTTTAGAAATAAATTCTTGAACTAATTTTGATGCGGTTTTTTGTTTGAAAGTTGAAAGACCGCTAAGTAAATAAAATAAAAACCAGAATACGAATAAAAATAAAAAAGAAGATTGAAAATGATAAAGTATTGGCGGTCCCCCGACGCGCGCGGCGACGCTCATCATCAAAATGTTAATAGGTTACTTTTAATCAAATTAAAAGGCCAAGAGATAAGATTTAGTTTTTTTTAAATTTAAATGTATTCGCACAAAAATTTTCAATTTTTTAATTAGATACATGTCTATAAAACTATTATTTCATACGTTTTTGAAATTTTAATAAAATTCAAACTTTCGTGTAGGTGGCCCGTAGTGTCTCAGGTAGGTATAGCCGAAAAAAAGAAGTTTTAAAACACGTTTTGGCTGTCTCGTATTTATAATTTTGATATTTTCAAAACAAAACCATGACTTTTACACTTTAATACAACCCCTTTTATTTACTAAGTTGATTTTAGTAGTAGATACTTTAATAATAAATATATTTATAAGTAGGTACATGTAAAAGTACCTATTATAACAACTCTCTCTGTTACGTTTTCATACTAAAGTCGTTAAACAGATCGATGCTATTATTGGTAAAGTGTCTTTAAAGATATCTTTATCAAATTTATCGATGTGGGCCCAAAGTATATCTAATAAATGAAAACAAAAATACCGCAGTAATCCTGGCTTCAGCCAGAGTTTAATAGGGTCTTATTAGTTGTCCAATTGTTCTCAATTTAGGATGTCACTCATCAATTATTACAGAGGACATATTGCCACAGACAAAAAAATCTTGAATTTTACTCCACCACACTGGCTACGCATATATGGAATGCAATAACGTGATTTTTGCTTATGAGTACCTAGTGTTATTTAACCTTTTTAAGCGTCCCACTGCTGGGCCATAGCCCACCACGCTGACCAAGTGCGGGTTGGCAGACTTCACATGTCTTTCGAAAACTTGTTAAGTTCTCTCAGACATGCAGGTTTCCTCACGATATTTTTTTAACTTCTCCCTAAGGCAAGTGGTAATTATGTTGAAAACAAATGCTAGTATTTATAAGTAGGTACCTACATATTTATTAAAAAAGTGCTAAAAAGGTAATGAATATAATGGGAATGGAAAATAATGGAAAAAATTTATTTAAATATAATTAATTAAATAATAAATATATTTATAAGTAGGTAAATGGAAAAGTAAGAGTTTGGGTTTGTATATAATCATATTCGACAAGTATATTTTTAGAGATTAATATTTTTTTATTCAAACTCGTGTCGAAACGATGATGAATAAAATGTTAAAGTTTTTATCACCTTACTAATATATAACTTATCTACTTATTTCTTACAACGAACTGTGTTTTTTTCTACATTTCTAAACTTTATATAATCCTATTCGTTTTCTTAATTATAATTATTACGAGTATAGTGTCTTTAAAACATGTAATTAATTGCTATATTTAATAAAAAACCGTAAAAATTAAAAAAAAAACTTTAATGTGAAAAAAAATTTAATTTTCGAAAAGTTACAATTCCTTTGCGTAAACTTTACATCGACATAGGGAGTAAAAACGTATGTATATGATATACATACGTTCACTATAGCTCCAGTTTATGCCATTACCTTATGAAATAGAGTTTAGAACATTTATATATCCACTCAAAGATTACTAGCTATTTGTAATTAGAGCAAAACGTCTTACATATACGCTTTCTACATAACCATAATTTTATTGCGTTACGCTAGATTAAAATGACTTTGCGGTGTAATTTGCCTTTAATTCTCTCCGCCTATCATGGATCTCTATTGCCCGATTTCAACAACGTCACCTAAGTTTAAGGGATCCCCTAAGCATGGTTAGGGGGCTGTTAGGGGACAGTTTCTGTTTCACCGACAGTTAGGGGTCACCTAAATATTAAAAGGCCCCCTAAATTTAGGTGCTCGAAATATGGGCTTAAAGACGATTGTAAAACGAAATTTATTTTAGGGGCTAGTTTAGGGGACTTTTAAGCTAGGGATCCCATACGTAGGTGGTAGCTTATGGGTTGTTGGTGAAATCGGGCATATGTCTCTCTTACTTTTTCTGAAAAAAACTTTTTATTGTAGTCTTTCCCCTAAGATGTACATTCGATTATGTACTTAACCGTTGTGCACCAGTTGAGGCTTATTATAATCAGATGAGCATTACCAAAAACTAGACTTTCCAATATTACCTAACTTCTAAGATGTCACTTTCGAGTGTCGAGTCTCCTCTAGGTTCCGTTGTCCTTCCGTTATCGTCCGTCGGTGACTCGGGACGGACAAATAGTGGGTGGAATGATTGTTTTAAATGGTCTTTTGACTCAGAGACTTCTACTTCTAAATAATTTAACATTGAAGTTTGTAAAACATTTTTACATAATACTAGTTTTTGTTTTTGGTTAGTGGGACAGGATCTAACGTAGCCTATATCCGTTCCCAGGATATAATTTATGCTTACCAAATTTTATCGAAATCTGTTCAGCGATTTAAACGCGGAAAGGTAACAGACTGAGTTACTTTCACATTTATAATATTAGTATAAATATTTATTACTTATTATTTGTTTCAGTTTATCGAGAGATTTGTAAATGAGTCGGAGCATGGAGTGATCCTTCTCAGCTTTGGCTCGTTAATTAAAACAGCATCTATGCCACAATACAAACAGCAGATTATAATAAATGCCTTGTCTAAATTAAAACAACGGGTGATTTGGAAATTTGAAGAGAGTGCTGAAGAAGGTACTCTAATTGGGAATATATTAAAAGTGAAATGGTTACCACAATATGAACTGCTAAGTAAGTAAATTTATATCATAGATATTTTTAAATCTAGTTGTATATTAGTAAAAGCTCGTCGCCTGCGAGTGTCTGAGCTGTGAGTCACAGGCAACGACTAAGGGGTGCCCGTGCACCCCCTGCCATGAAGGAAAATATATAGAAAATTTCCCTGTTTAAAAGATATCTGCGAAAAAAGATGATAAATAAGATATGAATAAAAATTATAAAATTAATCATTTAAAGTTTAGTTAGTAGTTTAATGTATGAAATGTAATGTAATGCTCTGGAAATAATTCTAACGCCGCTCATGCTTATGACTGCGATTTTTTCCTATTTCTATTGTAGCCACCAGTCACTATATACCTACCTAAATCATTGTGTTGTCTGTGTATTATATTTATAAAGTATCCCTAGATAATAAAGATAATAAACTAAAGTGAATGAAATAGATAAAAAATTACAACTGTTATCTACGTAGTAATGTAATATTATTTCGTTGGTTTTGAATAGCCATTGAGGAAATCTAATCTCGCCACGCGGCCTACTCGTATATCTAAACAAATGATGAAATGAAACCTACATTAAAAGGATTGTTATCTGATAAAGACAATCTCTTAAGAGCAATGAAAAAAATAAAAATTAATTCCATATGTATGCAATTCCAACATGGTAGAAGTGAAACTTAATATGCAATTTGTCAGACAGTAACAACGGTTACTATGGCAACATAGCAATGTATTCTATCTCATTCTCTCGTCTGCTTAATCCTATAACTTATTTATGTGTTTGTTTGTCTCTTTTTAGTGTCGCATTTCCGTTTCATTTCCGTTGCATCGATTTTCAAATCACAACAATTCTAAAGACGTTTCACTTCAAAATCTTTGTGTCGTATTATATACAAAAAGACTGATAAAATGTTATTTTGACTTCTCCCAAACAACATTAACTTTATTACTATTTTATTATGTGTAGATTTAGAGAAGGTAACAATGGAGGAGATATAAATATCTACACGTAGCAGAATCGCAGCGAGTATAAAACATGTGGCTCCGACTGCATAATATTTTGATTACTTGTTTCCATTTTTTTAAGTTCATTTTATACGGCCGGGTATTACTTCGCCAGTGTCCCGTATAATTTAGAAGAGAAGGCTGTCTTGATGGGATGCAGTCTGCGTAACACCGATCGACTTGATTTTCACTTGTGTCAAAAAAATATGTGACTCGTTACTCAGATATGTCAGATACGGCAGTCGTTCAACTTTAAAAACCTTATAAGTTGCAGATCGTATTACCGATACAAAAACTTTCACAATCCGGTTTTTTTTCGATACAGTTAATATAATTAACATTTATTTTTTTGCCCTTACGATCCCACTTGAGAATTGACATCGTTAATTAATAATTCCAAGACACAACTTTTCTATAGAACATTAGCCCTGAAAACCTAAATAATGTTTAATTACCTGTAAAATTACATTTTCAGTTGCTTTGAAATCAATAAATTGAGTTTGTAAATAAGTGCCGTGTAACATCACTCACTCACTCACAATCCATGAAGGCATAGATAGCATTTTGACGGTCCTAATAAAATCGTGGGACGCGTGAAATATCTATCAGCAGTCAACCGCCCATAGCATTATAAATGGTTTATATATTTACTCAGGTTACGCTACACCCCACGATTTTATTTTTGAGTCTGATCTATGCCCTAGATTGATGAGGAGAATTGTGTGATGACTGGTACCTAAGACCTACTTAATATTTTTAACCGACTTCCAAAAAGAAAGAGGTTCTCAATTCGTCGGAATTTTTTGTTTATGTATGTTCACCGATTACTCGAAGACGCCTGAAACGATTTGGAAAATTTTTAGACAATATTTTAAGTTATGAATATCTAATAGATAAATATGTATTTTACGTATCAAAATATATTAGATTTGCTTTGCATCGGCTGGCTACGGCTTCGAAAATATTCGATGGAAATATTAGGTATCTAATTTAAATGAAAACCTCCGTTTAGTTATTTTTTATATTTCAGTGCCTGGAAGCCGGTTTGTTTTTTGTCTTTTTTAGCTTTTAGTACATTATCTGTATCATTATTACCTTTCTTTCCAATAAAAGCGTTTAACGAAAAAAAACTTTTTATCTATTTTATTTTCAAATTTTTAGTTTTTATTTCGATTAGTAATTTATACATATTTCTCATTGTATTTATTTCATTCTTGCCTTGGATAGGAGATCCATGCTTGAATTCCGATTCTAAGTTGACGAAGTACTTTGTCTTTATTAGATGCCTAGATTTCAGTTTTATTGTCTAGACTGTCTAAACTATATGATACGCCATGTGTATTCTACTTGTAAAGCTCTTTTATTTGATACGGGCATTACCTATATTAATGAGATTGAAACATATATGAAATCCTATTGTGGTGGCTATCTTAGACATGGAATTTTTCATGGTGTTCTGTGTTCTACTAGTCAAGCCCTTTCATATGATACCCATATTGAAGGGGTTGTGAAATATATGTATGCATTCCGACATTTTGTGGCGGCAGCCATTTTGGATTTACAACGATACTGAATATAATATGTTTTATTGTCGTCACAACTAAAAGTGTGTACCAAAAATCAGATCAATCTGTCAACAGGAAATCGGTAAAATTTCAATTGCCAAATTTGACCCAAAAAAACAAATGGCAAGCTAAATACAAGCGTTTAACAATAAAAAGTATGTCAATAGATAGATTGTGTCAACTATCCAATTATAAATAAGAAAATACTATATCTAATCTGTACAAATTAACCTATTAAATATTACAATAAACAAATCAAGAGGATATAAAAAATTCTTAAGATATATTTTCCTTCTGTTTCGTATTAAATCACGATTTTAAACTGAGGTTTCGCTAGAATTGTAATTTTAACAAGAAATTCTATATACGTTAACCTTTTAGAAATATGATAAGCGAAACACTCAAGTCACGATTACTCTTAATCAGTATTATCTTGAATTTCCAAACAAGTTAATAGGATGTTAATTGTTTGCTGTGTGGAAAGTAATTAATAGATAACTAACAAGTAGATAGCTAGCTTGTTAAGCCGTTGGTAGTATATTTTATTTTTGTTTGGTTTGATACAAAAACAAACAAACAAATCTTTAATTTGTTGGTAGGGGAGACCGGGGATGGTTGACTGTAGGGGATGGTTGCCAAAAACTCTACTAATAAAAACGACAAAGCGGTATTTATTAGACATAAGGCTTGAGCCTATCCCCATTCTCGTTTTAAAAACCAGAAGCTAGAAGACGTGAATAAAAGAACAAAACTTCGATTTAAATGAAATTTAATACCAATTCAACTATTCACGTCTAAGTGTATTTTTTCTTAAATATCCTACACTATAATATTTTATTATACACTCGGTTACCATGACCATGAAATACACAAATATTACTTAGTTTTAAAGAAATCTTACTTAGAAAACATTTTTCATTTTTAAATACGTGCAAAATGACAATATGCAAATGAGGCAGTAAAAACCACGTTTCATAAAGTAAGAAACAAAATATAACATGTCCACAGCTTAGTTTATCTGTTTACTTTGTTATTTATTCCAAGTGCTAAAATAAAATGTTGTGTTGATGGCCAACGACATGCTCGCATTGAACATGTGCCATATTCGTGTAATATCGTGACTGATGAACTACATTTATGTATTACCCAGACGGCAATTATTAGTTAAATGACAATGTCCTCCTAACCCATATCCGTTCTGTAACCCATATCCGGTCAGAATGGCCAGTCTTATTGTAACTTGCTATCAGCTATCTGTGTGAACGAGTGTGTACGCAAGTATAGTGCGCAAATGTGTACGCACTATAATATCTTCATATTGGTATTACTAGTTCACTTCCTATTTCTGTACTGCTCTCATGAGTGGTACCTTAAATGCAGATGACTGGTAAAAGATTAGGCGACCAATGGCTTTACTTTCTCCCCGAAGCACGAGGGCCGAACACCCCAGCTTCGCAACTCTGGAGTGATACATGAGATATTTCTTATAACTACTATTGTACATATTAGCGAATAGTCAAAAGTTAATTTAAAATATGTAGCTATCACGAAAGTTTTTACCCTGAGATGATATCGAACCCATGACCTTCATAGTAAATATAGGTGATAAATAAGAGCGCTCGTTAGATTTGTCGTCGGTTAATCGCCAAACAGGTGTTCATGTACCAGTAAATCTGCGCTAGCCGTCGCGTTGAGAGCGTTTATATAAATCATTAAATTTTAGAAGACTGTACATTAATATTTTATTAAATGCTAGTTAATACTTTTAACAATAATTAAAAACGAAAATTACTATATTGAGTAAGAAATAACAAGTCGCAAAATATTTAAAACCTCTGTTTTTTTTAGTTACCTTGTTTAATTAGGAATATATTATTATAGAGACGTTTACATTGTAGCTGTTGAAAAATTACTGTCACTTTTAACTAATTAGCATAAACTTGTGTTTAAGCTTATTCACAACTGAAGATGTAGAAAATTACATTAAATTACTAGATAAAGCAGTAGTTTTTTTAATCTTTTAAACATTATTTTGGTAAAGTCTCGTTTGCCATTCAGTTGTTACAATATTTTCAGCCTGGCAACACAAAATTGTCCCAGTGAATGTATGTATGTACATAAGCATACATAGATATAAGCCGCATTTGGTTCTAACGAGGCCAAGACAAATAGTATAGTATAAATACTAGCGACTCCCTAGTTATCTTTTAACGTATAGTATAGATTTCTCAGAGATGAGATATTTTCCCGCAGTTAAAAGTATCCTATATCAACATATAGAATACTTTGTGGTGTTTTTCTGGGTCAACACCCAGACAACCAGCTATCATCATGCCAAATTTAATCAAAATCTGCCCAATGGTTTTCCCGTGATGACTGATGCTGTCACAGACAGACAGACAGACAAAATTTCTAAAAACTATAGATTCTGTCTCAGTATCGATAACAATGACTATTTCAATAAGATTTACCAAAAAAATATTTAATGTACAGATTCGACTCAGTTAGAATTTTATTATATGGATAGATTAAACACTATTGGACTTATACTCTTTTGATGTATCATGCTAATTACTGCATATTAAGTGATATATAAAGTTTAATCATTTCTTTTACAGAACACGATAAGGTTGTAGCATTTATTGCTCATGGTGGTCTTTTGGGCATGACTGAGGCGGTGTCGGCTGGGAAGCCGATGGTAATCGTGCCTTTCTTCGGAGATCAACACTACAACGGTGCAGCAGCAGTAGCATCTGGCTTTGGTAGAGTCGTATCTTATATAGATTTGAATGAACAGGATCTGAGGGAGGCTGTTGAATCTGTATTGAGTGCACAGTAAGTAAATAATATATTACTTCCAGCTTTCTGACTGCAATAAGTGTTATTATGGCGGAGACTGATAAATATATAAAATATTTTAAGAGGTTTTCAAACAAAAACCATATCTTAGTCCTTAAAAATTTTGGCGTTTCTATCTCGTATACTTTGTAACATATCTCCTCATCTTCTCGTAAATTTCAACGTTCAACAGCATAAATGGATATCCTAATAAAGTATGAAGAATTAATACCCAGAGAAGTACTAGTTTTAGCTTGAAGATTCATATGAATGGGTTATAATAATCTTTATTGTACACCAAACAGAAAAAAACATACAGATAATAATTAAAAAAAAATAAACAAAAATGCACAGCAGGCGGCGTTACAGCGATAATGGGTTTTTTCTCTTTTAACATAACCCCCTCTTTATAGAAGTTAAATTAAACAACATGAATTAAGTTTAAATTTTAATTCAAGTAGTGGATTCTACTAGTTGAATTAAATTTCAATTATGATCTATAAATAAAAAAGAAAAAATTGAGAAATTAAAAAGCGCGCGTTCGACTCGCACTTAACGATTTTTTTCTAAATTTTCCTTATCTTATTTGAACTAGATTTATTTTGCGTAAATTATAATGTAATGCGATATGTTTACTATCTTTTATTTAGTATTTCCATAAAAGGTCAATGGTTCTTTAAAAATGATAAACTTGAACTCTTCTACACTGTACTAATAAAGTATATAGAGTAAAATATACGCGGCAAATACAAAAAATCTTTATATGGTATTACTAACTCATGAGCGAATTAGAGACTCGTTCATGTACTTACTATAGTAAGAGAAAAATGTTTTGATACTTGAGTTTTTTTTTTGTATTTATGACAATAAATTTGTATAATAGTTGTTTGCGAACTTAATTTCTAATTTAAGAAACACATCACGTCTTTAAAAATTCTGAAAGTCTTCCAATTCATATCAACGTCTTGGTTTACTCGTACAAAAGAAAATGTCCGAGTCGTATTTCAAAATTAAGTAATCGTTAAGTTGTTTCTTAATTAATTGATATATATTTTTATCAATTCATTGTAAACAACTCGAATCGAATATTAGTATACACATTTCAAGTTATATGTATGTATATTATATGTGTGTAAACTAATAGGTAGTTTATGCACAAAAATGTATACCAGAGACTTCGAAGTTTGATGTGCCTTTGACAGCTTTATAATGTTGCCATATCAAAACTTTTAAGAAAACTCCAGGACACACTTTCGTTAGCCAGACTCTAACACGTTTATATTTCAAGCTTTATTTTTGACTAGCGACTCACCCTCGCTCCGCTCATGCCAGTTCGTCCCTAGTTACGTTTTAACGTTTAGTATAGATTTCTCAGAGATGAGATATATTCCCACAGTAAAAAGTATCCTGTATGTTGATTGTTGACCCATATAACCAGCTATCATCATACCAAATTTCATCAAAATCTGTCCAGTGGTTTCTTCTGATGCGGATGAATTTTCTCGTGATGCGGTCACAGACAGACACACAAACGGACGGACGGATGGACGGAAGAACAGACAGACAAAAATTCTAAAAACTATAGATTCGGCATCTATATCGATAATAATGACTATTTCAATAAGATTTTCCAAAAAATATTTAACGTACAGATTCGATTTAGTTAAAATTTTATTAAACGTATAGATATTATTTACGCCCACATTATTGTAAGAATGTAATATCTCTTTAAAATATTCCACAAGTTGTACTTAAATATACATAAATTTTAATTTTGATTTTGTATGAACAAATCTTTGCATTTTACGTTCATTACGCTCTTAGATAGACAATGGTTTTGAATTTGACTCAAAAATATTAAATTTGTCATATTTTTGCTAATTTTCACGTAAAAAAATACATCTAGGTACGTACCTAATTATTCAATGTCAAGTTAATGATTGTCAACACGTGTATACCATCATGTACAATGTACATAAATATAAAAGAAAACACTAAAATAAAAAACTTTGGTCTTTTGCGGTTATTATATTATGAAAAACACGATGTTGTCATAGCTCATTAACACCAATGTCGCTTCAGAGAATATTATTGTAACGTGACCTTATAGATTATTACTGTCTTATTGTTATTATAAGTGCTCGAATGTCTATATGACTGAAGTAAATATTAAACTCCTATTATGTATGCAAAATTATGTGTATGTCAGTTAATCTATCACGCAGAAACGGCTGAATAGATTTGGATGTAGCTCACCAGTATAGCTAAGACGTACTAGAATAGTTTTAGGAAATATAGATGGACTCCTAACACTAATCTTTACACAATAGGGAATAATAGGTAATGTATTAAAAATAAATCGTTATATAATTGTAAAAAAAATATATTCAGCTCCAAAAAATTAAAATTTATTTAAAACGCCCGTCATTTCCCACGCTTAGGTGACGTCAAAGTATGATATACACAGAAAAATGACAAATTTGTAGCGACAAAATCGCTAATCGCTCTGTTAATAAAAATATGTATATAGGTATATTTAAATCACACACATATACCCTATTCACTGTCTCCTGCGCAGGAGATATTATAGTGCACAATTACTTTCTCCAGTCTTGTGGTACGTCAGGACGGCAAATCCATTTGATCGGAGAGTAATCTCCGAGGCGTGAGCTAGTACTTAGAGCTTCTTGTATGAATAAAACCAACAACTATTCTTGCTCCGAAGCGACCTTCGAATCTAGCAATTCACGCACATAAAGCCATACTTAATATTATAAATGTGAAAGTGTGTTTGTTTGTTTGCGTGTTTGTTTGTCTTTCTTTCACGTCGAAACGGAGAGATGGATTGGCGTGATTTGTGGTGTGAAGATAGAGTGCTGGAGAGTGACATAGGCTACTTTTTATCGCGGGAGATCATCTCTTCCCACGAGATAACATGTTAAAATACAACCTAAAAATTTATTTCTGATCAGATTACTTGAAACTTGGTATTAATGCTCTTCAATACAAATAAATAAATACGCGCTTTAGCATTTTTCGTAATTCATCCTGAAAGGGGGTAAAATAGGGGATGAAAATTTGTATGAAACCTCCTTTTTAGAGATTTTTTTGTAGTTTTAACGCGAGCGAAACAACGGGTTCTGCTAGTATGTATAAATATAATTATATAATTTAAAATAATATTATACCAGAATTAAACAATATCTCTAAGTATTTATTTTCCGTCTATCGATTTTCGATTTTGTTTTCTAATGTCTGTATCTAAAATTGCTCATGACCGCTCGCACGTCAAAGTTGGTTAAACGCCAAATGTAGGTACCTAATACGTATGTATAGATATACATATATAAGCTATGTAATGTGGTTATTTATGATACTAACATTTTAATGCTTACCATTTTTAGATATTTTATTACGAAATGACACAAAAATAAGTAAAATCTATGTTTATTTTTGCTTAATTTGATTTTTTACAAGCTTTTATTTGACTTACCTCGTTAGTATGAAATTAAGAAAATAAACAGTCCTGGTATTTAATTGAGCTGATAATTGCCATTTTCATTGCAAAATTGTCAATAGTACCAATAGGTACTTAGATGTGGTGGGAAGCCTCGATTTGTTTTGATTCGTCAATTCACTGATCGGACATTTTTTGAACCAAAAACGTAAATAGACATTCGAGCATGCTCGCAAATAAATTTGTTTATTTAATTTTTACTTAACCCCGCTACGTTTTAAATAGATATGAATAATCTTATTAAAACCTACAATTTTCTAGCACATTGTCTTTATGTATCTCTTAAGGTTTAGCGAGCGTTAGACATGTAAGTTTCTAAGGAAGACTCGATAGAACCAGTTATTGTGTTTTCCCGTGGGAATGAAAGATTTTCCTGTAGTAAAAGGTATCCTAAATGTTGACCCGAGTAATAAGTTATCATTATACAAAATTTACTTAAAATCGGTTCAGTACTTTTTGCGTGATAAGTTGCTGTTTTTTTTATATGTACATAGGTTTATTATGAACAGCCCTGGATTTATACTAGGGGCACTCAGGGCTAGTGCCCAAGACGGCAAATTTTTAGGGGTGACAAAATTCGGAGATTTTTCGCATTATAGAAAATCCTTTTTTTATTTACCAATAAATTAATAATTAAAAAATATTAACTTGTAGTACATATTTTGTAAAATTGAAATCATTTATAAATAATTTCTTTGCATTTACAAAAAAATAATAATTAAAAAAAACTATTTAATGCAAAAATACGATATTAGGGCGGCATTTTTTACTATGCCATGGGCGGTTAAGGTTAAATCTGGCTCTGATTATGAACTATCATGGCATTAATTACTTTCGGTAGGCATGAGATAGTAAGGCAGAATCGGATGTTCTACAAAAGTCCAATGTATCAATAATCGTCGTGACCTATAGTCACATTTTAAACACCATTTTAATTTAAATAGGTATGCGCACTCAATTCTGATACAATGAAAGAATTTATTGCACCATACCATTTTAAACGTGTTACATAGAATAACAATACAATTTGTATATTCATAAATGAATAATAAGGGAATTTAATGTATGTATTACGAGACTAATATATTAAAAGCAGTTTGACATACGAGTATATTACCGGAATTCGATATCCGTACATAACATTTTTAAATCGATATTATCGATTGTGTTGTTTGTCAGTGAATTTTGATGAAATTGGATGAATATATAATGTACGAGCACTAAATATACATTCATTATTATCGTTTCATGTATATTAAATTGCAACAATTATTTCGTTTTTTTTTATTAAAAAAATATTCTTAAAGATACTTTTTACATAAAATAATAAATATATATATATATAAATATATATATATATATATATATATATATATATATATATATATATATATATATATATATTTATATATATCTTCTTCTCCCTGCCCATTTCCCAATCACTTGGGGTCGGCGCAGTACATCCTCTGTACTGCTGAAAGGATTTGGCAAAAGTTTTACGACCGGCCGCCTGCCTGACGTCAACCCTCCTTGGGAATGCTATTGTTTATCGCGGAATATGTCTTATGATATGTCTCTTATATATATCTCTGATTATGTCTTGTAATATGGTACACTTTCGATATTTTTGTCTTTTAAAACATTTTTTATACTTTTAATTAAAGTTTAATGTTATTTTTTATATATTTTAAAATAAATTTTAATCACACTATAAATTTTGATTTGACGTTATATATATATATATATATATATATATATATATATATATATATATATATATATATATATTCTTTTAGTTCACCATATTTCAAATTATACAATAAGTAGAAATTTTTATTGTTCTCCTTAATGGGGCCCCTGGTCACTTATAGGCTCCTTTTTATACCAATCTTAATCACTTGCATTGTAGATCATATTTATTTGTAATTATAATTTAATTGCCCGATCACAATGTTTTGTAGATAAGTTAATTGCTACGATATATTAATTATAGTGATTAATGTCAAAATATTTAAAATTGTCATTAACATTAAAACAGATAAGTATTATGTATTTAATAAGGCTCTTGACACTACAGATAAATACAAATTAACATATTCTTACAGACAACCTTTGGTGAAAGGATTAGAAGAATCTTAGACGGGACGGTACAATTAACACTAAATACAGACACGATGAACTACGTTTACAAATATGTATACATACATAAGACAAAAATATATACATGTATAATATATACGTACACATATACATAAATACATACATACATATAAATACATAAACACACAAAAATACATAGTATATACCCAATAACTAACACAAGACGGATAATAGTTAGACGGCGTTTAATAATATTTAGTGAGTTTGAATGGCGAACATCATGGGGAGCATATTCCATAGCTTTGCAACTTTTACGGTAAAAGAGTTATCATAGTATTTTTTTTCAGATACATGATTACTGCCACAGGTGGTTCGGTTAACAATTAATTTCTTAGAATTTAACCGTGAGGTGTATTAAAAAAATATATCTGCCCGCTATAGACAAGTCCTCGTTCTCGGTACGATATTAAAAAAACATTCAAATAAACTAGTCAATATATTATAAACTCTAAGTCATTATAATATGTGCAATTGTGCACATTATTTCTTTAAACAGAGTTCATGGGTTTGAATCCCATGTCAAGTTATTGGATTTTACTGTAAAATTTTAAGCAGTTGTCTATATTTAGAAAGTTGGCGGTGTTACACCCCCGGTACACCCTCTCTTGGATAACACACAGGTGTTTGTGTCAAAGTTAATTCTACACAAACACCTGTGTGTGTATAAGTATGCACTATTTGTACAAACACACACGCCTGCCCTGTGTAGGCCAGTCGGGTTATCGATAATATGAGCCTAACCCAGAAAAAATCTAAGCTAAAAAATTTTTTAAAGGGGGAGCCACTGGGAGGGTTTTAAAATCGCGACAAAATTTGAGCGGTGCGTTAGCTGCCATTTTGATTTTAAGGGGGAATCGTTTTTCCACGTATGTACTTAAAATGCATATTATGTCCAATGCACGAAGATTTGTTACTTGAAATATGGCTCTGTGAAATTTGTCGAGTTATATTACTTCGAAAGAGCACGCTTCTAGTAGTTTTCTATAATTATCTAATAAGTATGTATACGTAATAATGCATGGGTATTGGATATGTCGGCATAATAATATAATGATAGAGCCGGGATTTCCTCTTGAAACTATTAATTAGTTAGCCAACATAATGAAATTCGTCCGTTTGAAGGGAATTGTAATGGACAACGTGGCGTAGGATGTTTTTTGTATCAATTATATTTAATTTTATTATATTTAATCCAATTATTTCATATAAATCGGTTCACCAGACTTTTAGTTTATCCATTACAAACAAACATACAAAAAAAACATTTTTTTTCTCTGTATAATATATTATACATAATATGTAGTATAGATAACACAAATGATGAACAAAGAGAATATTGTACGAGCTCGTAGCTCTTACGCATATCGTAAGACAATGTATTTTTATCATCATATCATCATGTATGCATGTCTCAACCAGTTAACCAGAAAACCAGAAAAAAAAATTCATTTAACAGATCCACAACGTGCATTGCGTCCCAAATATTACTTACACGTTAAAGGACAATGGCAATTTTGTTATTGATTTTTCTCATGCATCAAAATTGAAATAACCTTATATTTCTTATTTTCTCCATCGTGTTCGTGTGCTCGATAAGTGTTTTGAACTTGAAATTTGGTATCTCAAATAGACCTCTAATTGCATTTTGCAGAGCTTAGAGATTTTTTTAATTTTTTTAAATGATTTGATGTTGTAAAAATGGTTTAAAATTTTAATTACATAGATAGTTATTTAGTTACAAATGAATCCACAATATAAATTGCCCGAGATATATTTAATAGAGATGTCATGTCAGTGGATGTGCAAAATCTCAAACAAGCTATATATAAAATCAAGTGTGAAGTGCGCGTCGACTCGCGCACGAAGTGTTCCGTTCCATTATCTATAAAAACGGCAAAAAAACACGTTTGATGTATGGGAGTCTCCTTAAATATTTATTTTATTCTATTTTTTAGTATTTATTATTATAGCGGCAACAGAAATACATCATCTGTGAAAATTTCAACTGTCTAACTATAACGGTTCGTGAGATACAGCCTGGTGGCAGACAGACAGCGGAGTCTTAGTAATAGGGTTCCGTTTTACCCTATGGGTACGGAACGCTAATAAATTAAAATATCTGATTATAGCCATTTGACTGATTGCGTATGGAAAAGAAATGTGCTTATAAAAAGTGTTTAATATAAATAATTTTCCTTTCAGAACTCGCCTGAACGCTCGCAGAGTGTCAAAAATGTGGCACCATAGACAAGCAGCACCTCTAGATACTGCTGTGTTTTGGACGGAGTACGTTATTAAGTGGGGTAGCGATAGCAAACTTCATTCGATCGCAAGGGACTTGCCCTTTTATGAATATGCGCTATTGGATGTAGTATCTGCATATATTATAGGTATTATATTAATTTTAATTTTTATATGGTCAGTGTTATCAAAAATATCATCGTTGTTTATGAAAGGTGGAAAACAGAAATTACATTAAAACTTTGTAGACAGCACTTGAACTAGTTTAGAGTGGAAATAGTAAAATATTGTCAAATTTTTATTGTTTTTGATTATATCTTTGTAAATATGTGTTATATTTGTTGTGTCAATAATATGTTTCAAAATAAGGCCATTTAAACTCTTTTTAAGACAGCTAATTCCCATTAGTTACACTACAGCATAGTATAAAAAGAAATATATAGTTTATTTTTACTTTATGCATTCTTTTATACTGTGCTAAAAGTAAGGTTCCTATATGTATGTAAAAGACATACCTAAGTTGTTTATTTATATTATAATAATGTAATTATAATGTATATAATGATGTAGAAATAAATATGTTGTTACGAATCTCTATTTATTATTTCTAATCATTAGTGTTAAATCCATATCTCCTTAATATGGATTTGAACCAATTTGTACCAATTAAGTATTACTTAGCTTATAAATTATAATAATATTAAAGAATTATAAATTAAAAATTTAAGAACCCCCCTACGCAAATTAATTGTCATTTAACTATTACACTGGCACGCGTGAAGCACTTAATCGAGTAATCATACGCCAAAATGTCTTACATCATTTAGGAAAAGAGCTGATACTGATACAGAACCACCACAAGGAAACTGGCTTTCAAATGAAAAAACGCATCGAAATCAGTCCATCCGTTTGAGAGCTACGATGGCACAGACAGACGCACACACAGACAGACATCGACGTCAAACTTTTAACACCCCTCTTTTTGCGTCGGGGGTTAAAAAGATAATAAAAACAATGTGCTGACAATATTTAATTATTATAATTACAAAGGGTGTTTCGAAGGGTAGAAATCCAATCTTTATAAAATAAAACATAAATAAGGCACGCACCTTTTTTGTTAAAAGCAAAATGTGAAAATAAAATATGATAAAACTAATGTTATAAATAGTAATGTGCGTTTTTAATACACAAACTTTTCAAAAATAATACATGTATCGACTAACAAAATTAAATGGATAATGAAATTATGACATACCTACCTAAATATAGTTTTTAAGTCATAGGCAAGACCAATTTTTAACGTTTTTCAACCGACTTCAAAAAGGAGGAGGTTCTCACCGAATGGCTGGCATTTTTTTTATGTTTGTTACCTCAGAACTCCATAATTTATTAACTGATTTGAACAATTTTTGTTTTGTTTGGAAGTGTATACTTCCAGTTTGGTCTCATTTAAATTTAAAAAAAGAATACCACCCTCAAATCGGTATCAGCCGATACAAATCAAAGCACACCGACTTCGAAAATATCTAATTAGGTACAGGTACCTATAATTAATAACTGAAAACTACCAATAAATTATTTTTCACTTTTTAGTGTTTTTAAGTAAATTATTGTAACATAATCAGAATTTTGGTCCAACCACTATCATTATTTAGTAAAAAGATACTGATTTATAAGAAAATCTTTAAAATTGAAATCAAATCGAATGGAAATTAGACCTACCAGATACAAATAATTTAACATTGCAACCTGTGGAAAATTACTATGAAATAATAATAAAAAATACCGTTATATATAAGATGAAATTGAAATGAATTCACATAATCTGGCATATGTAGGTATATATATGTTGCAATCATTTTTACCACAAGTCCATGTACTTAAATTCAACACAACATTACACTAACAAAATTGCTAATATATTGCTTAAGGCGTTATGATTCGAATACCTTTATATTAGTAGGTACTTTATACCTAATACGTGACTACGTCTCCTCAATATGATTTTAATTTTTGAGTGCGCTAGAGATAAATTTTCTATTTTTATTTATGAACCGATTTCATTACTTACTTATATTTAATGTTATTTCCATATATTTTTTTTCACATTGAAATTGAGAGAAACTATGGGCGGAACAAAAGAGAATGACGAGACGAAAGAAGAGAGTTTCATAGAAGCTCGTCCTGGCTGTCCATCGCTATAGGATATTGAAAAGACAATCTGTGATTGAAAGCCAGGCGTCCAAAACTAAACGCCTTCCATCAAATACAATCGGTCCTTCAAAATACACTTTAAAAATTATCGCAACTCTACAAAAAATGCCCTAAAATTTATTTTACGATTTTTCTATTCATTATGATTTAATTCAAATGAAGGAAAATTAACCATATTATAAAAAAAATTAACCATATTATAATAAAAATTTGCTTTTGTGGTAGTTATGATAATATTAGATTAATCCTTTTTCTTGAGTTATCATATTTAATAGAAGTATTCCATGTTTCTGATGTTTCTAAAAATATCGCGAATACATTTAATTCAGAAGAACAAGGAGAACGCTTTCATCAAGACATCATGGACGTCGATCACCGTTATCAGGATCAATACAACAAAAATATAATGGAGAATTTGGGGTTTAGTGAGAGAAAATACTTATAAACGTGAAAAATTAATAGGGTTCACTTTTAAACTTTTTTTATTATTTTTTATTTATTTATTTATGTACAAAATAAAGTAACAAAATGTTGACAAAGGATAACTTATCTCTTTAAGAGATTTCTTCCAGAAACCCTTCAGAAGTGAGAAAATAAGTTAATATAGTGCGGTGTAGGAATACTATTTTGTATTTTTTTGTATATTTATGGTATTTGATATGATATAAAAATTTATAAAAATGTATATATCACAGAAATCTTAATAATTACCTTTTATTAAGATTTCTGTGGTATATATGGATATATTTGGTTCAATATTTATAAATAAAAATTTAAACCATGGATTTTCTAAAATATTGATCAAACGTTCTCCCAGACACAAAAGCAAACTTTTCAGGCCATATATTTTTTTGTCTAACTTATCGATAAATCTCTTCTCTTATCACAGTCAAAATTTGCGTTGACCTATGTTATCAATGCGCGCGCGCACGAACGTGACGGACTAAGTAGGCCTCGTCAATTTTAAATTAAAAATGATAATCAAAAACAATTGGAAAGTGCTAAACATCTTAATTAAATTACTATGAATTTTTTAATTGTGAAAATATATAACTTTTCAAGTGTAAATAAGTATATGTAATCAATGAACGCATTTGTATTTTGTATCGTATACGTATGATACAAACGCGTAACTTTTTCTCACCTCTCAACATTGTCAGATAATTCTGTTTACCTCTCCAGCAACTATTCATGAATAATAAATCACTAAAATTTATCTCAGCTTGATACGATGAAACTTTGAAATCCATATCATAAATTAAGGAAGAATTAAGCCGTTTGAAGAAAGAGAATGTCTCACTCCGCAATACTTTGAAGGAGTTGCAAGGTACTGTAGGCTCAGTAGAACACGAGTTCTTGGAATTCCAGTAAATTAGGATGAATGCTTACATAAACTAGTACAAAAAATAGCTGTAAAGTCTGGTATATCCCTTAGTAAAGGCGAGCTCGAATTCGTTCATCATATAGGTACAGCTACGGTAATCCATAAGTAGGAAACCTCGCTCTATAGTAGTTCGTTTCAAATCTAGAAAAAGAAAGATGTTTTCTTATCGTCTTTGCCTTGTGAACTCTACCAGCAATCTTGGAATAGTTACCCGGTCAGTCAAAAAATATTTTTGTTAATAAGCACTTGACAGAATGAATAAAACTACATGTTTTATGTAAAACAAGGGCCAAGAAATTCAATTATCTTATACGTAAGAAAAATTCCGGACAAGTGCGAGTCGGACTCGCCCACCGAGGGTTCCGTAAAAATTTGTTGGTTTTTTTACCTTTTTGGAGTTTTTCCTTTATTTGTGCTGTAAGACCTTGCTTTTTGCCAAATTTCGTGATTCTAGGTCAACGAGAACTACTATATAGGTTTTCGACCCAAAACATTTAGGGTACTTCCGGTTGACCTAGAATTGTCAATTTTGGTTAAAAGTAAGGTCTTAAAGCACAAGTAAGGGGAAAATTCCGATAAATATAAAAAGTTGAAAATTAAGGTAAATTTTGGGACTATAGACCTTAGTATCTGGTATTAATTTCAACTTCCTAGGTCCACCTGTTCCTGAGAAAATAGGTTGACACACGGACAGACAGATGGACGGACAGACGGACAAAAGAGTGATCTTATAAGGGTTCCTTTTTTCACCTTTTTAGGTACGAAACCCTAAAATACGAAACATCTTCTCATATAGGTACGTATTACAAACTCAAGGGATCTTCTAAGGATTATTTAAAAAAACTAGTGATTCACCCTCGCTCGTCGGTTCGTCTCTTGGTACGTTTTATCGGTTAGTATAGATTTTTTATTGCATTTTATAGTCATTTATTGAGTAGGAGCTAACGCTACGAACCTAAAGAGCAGATGCGATTATAAATAAACTACGTGAGCGAAGCTGCGTACCTAATAACAATAAATAATTCCAATACTTAATATATTTACAGGTTTCTTATTATTTATTAATCTTAGCTGCACGCACAATAAATGGACAATAGGTACGTTTGTCGTCTAAGTAATTACATTAGGCATGCAAAGGCGCAGGCGGTCTTATTACAGCAATCTCTACCGAAAAACCGTTTAATAACAGGATTTATTAAAGCGTAAGTTTGTAAATGATTCTGTGTTGTCACTTTTTAAAGATATAACGGCTCAACGGATTTTATTGTAATTTGAAATAGAGATAACTTATATCCTGAGTTTAAATATACCTAGCTAAATTTTTGAACGGGATATGTTAGCCTGACATTGTCAATATTTTGAGTCGAAAAGTACAGGTTTTGTCAGTGGACAGCGTGTACGCGATAGTCCACAGTAGATACGCCGGCACGTATATTATGAATAATAATACTTACCTTTTTTAACGTTGCAAATGCATTTACGCATACCACCTGAATGAATACAAGTGGTTAAGTGAGACTCACCGGTCAGATTAGCCAGTACTATCTTAATTAGCAATCCGGCTGGCTTGTAGACAGACCACAACAACCATGGGGTTGCTCCAGTGGAAGTAAGTGGACAGCGGTCCAATCTGCTATCAGAGAATTACGAGGATTAAACCCGCATGGTACACCTCCCATCGGAGTGGGCCAGTTTACAGGGTGACTTGGGTTCACACTGGCTGGATTGCCGGACGCTAATGAACATGAGCAAAGAGCATCACCACAGATCATACATATAATACTATACTAGCACTATACATATAGTACTTTACTAATAAAATTAATAAAATTGTGCACAAAGAAGATAGATGTATGTGTTAACACACATCGTTACAGAAAACTTTTTACTCTTACACAAGATACACAATTCCACCATACATTATTTTGTTATATCTCAAAGGTAACGATTTCATTGAAAGCTCCCAGACGGCTTATTTTTTTCCAACACCTCCAACAAATATCATTATATTTTAGCCAATGTATACAAAAACTTAACACATTATATACAAAAACCTTCCTCGAGAACCACCCTACTCTTTCTATTGGTGAAAACTGCATGAAAATCGGTGCAGTAGTTTTTGAGTTTATCGCGAACAGACAGACAGACACGGCGCGGCGGAGGACTTTGTTTTATAATATGTCGTGATAATAAATATACACAAAAAACATTAAAAAAATCGCATTTACAATAGTTCGATTTATTTGTGCAAAAAGTACGAACATAATATTATTTATTTTATACTAATCTAAATATTTAATACACATATTAACAAAATCTAATCTATTTAACAAAAAATCAGATATAGAAAGGTAATTATTATTTTTGGAAATAATATTATAAAAAAAGTTTTATTTGCATTCGCTAACGACCTTATTGTTAGTTGTATACAAGCTATTTAGACGCCGGCTGTATTCAGGGCATTTCAATAGTGCTTGCGATTGGGTGCGTGTAACATGTCTCGCGTAATATTATCATTATTTATATATTTCATTATCGTACTACAATGTTACTGTGTAAAATCCGCGAATATTCTTGGCCTATTTCCGCATACTGGCAAGAGTCATCACATGGTTTTCGAACCGTTTTTGAAAAAGTTGGCAGAAAGGGGCCATAACGTCACCGTTGCGTCGTTCTTCCCAGAAAAAAATCGACCTCCCAATTATAAGGATATTAGCTTCGTAGGAATCGCTCCATTGAGACTCGAATCATACGACTTGGGTGATTTTGAAAATGAGAGACTTCTGTACAAAATACCAAGAGTGGGAAGAAATGTGAAAATATTATCTCAATTAAATCCTTTCAAAACATCGACTGTGACCATATGTGCTCGTTTAGTTAAATATAAACCATTGTTAGACGCTTTAAAAGAAAACTATGATGTAGTGTTAGTAGAAAATTTCATTGGCGATTGCATGTTGGGTCTTCTTCACGCCTTTGGTATAACAGCGCCAATTATAGCCCTGCTCTCATGCAGTTCTATGCCATGGACTTTTGAACGAATTGGTGCTAATGATAATCCTTCATATGTACCAGTTATTGTATCGCCATTTGGAACACAAATGTCATTTTTGGATAGAGTTGAGAATACCATAGTCAATATTATAGTAAACGATTGGTATCATCAGGAGGTACAAGCAAGTGAGAGGATGATAATAGAAAAAGAATATGGCACAATACCGGATTTACGTGAGCTCGCAAAGAATACCTCCCTGGTGATTTCATACGGCTATCATCCTTTTACTGGAGCAAAACCACTTGTCCCTGGGTTAGTGGAAGTTGGAGGAATGCATTTATCTTCTGAAAGGAAACCTCTGCCTCTGGTAAATATAGTATACACTAATAAATCTGTTATAAATATTGATATTTTTATTTGAATGAATTTTTTGGAAAATCTTATTTAAATAATCATTATTATTGATACAGAGGCCGAATCTATAGTTTTTAGAATTTTCGTCTCTGTCGGTCTGTCTGTCTGGGAACATCACAAGAAATCCACTGGACCGATTTTGATAAAATTTGGTATGATTATAGCTTTATCCGTGTCAACATATAGGATACTTTTTGCTACGGGAAAATATCTTATTCCTAAGAAATCTATACTAACTGTTAAAACGTATCTAGGGAAGAACCCGAGCGGAGCGAGGTTGAGTCGTTAATATCTAATCAACAATTTGTTTAGTCTAAGCTAGAAAAAAAAGTTCTTTGCACATTTTGGTTTGTTTTCAGTTTATTGAAAAGTTCCTTAACGAATCAAGCGACGGTGTCATACTTTTTAGTTTTGGATCCCACATAAAAACAAAATCGATTCCAAAGTATAAAGAGCAGATTCTACTTAAGGCATTATCTAAATTGAAGCAGAGAGTTATATGGAAGTTCGAAGACAGCGGAGATGAGGGCACTCTTATAGGAAATGTCTTGAAGGTGAAGTGGTTACCTCAATACGACTTGTTACGTAAGTAAATATTTAACCTATTCTTTCTTAAGATGATAGATATTTTCAAATAATACCCATAACAAAATACTGGAGAAATCATATTAGAAATGTATCTTTACTTCTTAAAATTATGTATACAATTTTAATATATAGATAGATAGAAATAGATAGGTAATTTGAAGCCTACCATTTCTTTCACACAATACTCCTCCACTTTTCTTCATTGTGTTTTCTTTGAATGTGGTGAACAATGAAGAGTTCTACTACGTTTTGATTATATCAAATCAACTTGGTCAAGCATGTATAAATAAATTGACGATAACAAATGATAAAAACAATACTATAACGAGTAAAATGAAGTGAGGAGCGGGTGTTGGAGCAGAGGCGCTAGTGTAGCGGTGTGAAGTGTGATGCGAGTAGAAGAGAGTTATTATATATAGAGATTAATTATTCTGCAGTGTTAAAGTGTTGTTATATAAGTACAGAAAAAATAAATAATTATCTATAGATAAACTGGTATAAATTAAATATTATCTATACACTGGTAATTAAAATAATTAGCAGTATTAGTTATAATTGTAAAATAATAGCGATTTGTAAAAAAAACTATGTTTATTTTCCCTGATTGCTTCACAATATCATTGACCATAACAATCAAAATAAAACTAACGTTAGAAATTGGCTTTCTTACTAGTATGAACTATTATAATTGCAAAAGTTTACATATATTATATGTATGTGTATGTTTTTTACTTCTTCACACTCTAGTCTATACGTATAATAAAATTGTAACTAAGCCGAATCTGTACATTAAATATTTTTTTGGAAAATCTTATTGAAATAAACATTATTATCGATACGGAGGCCGAATCTATAGTTTTTAGAATTTTTGTCTGTATGTCTGTCTGTCTGTCTGTTACCGCATCACAGAAAAACCACTGGAGGGATTTTGATGGAATTTGGTATGGTAATAGCTGGTTATCCGAGTCAACATATAGGATACTTTTTACCGCGGGAAAATGTCTCATTTCTGAGAAAAAATTCAAAAACTGCTATGTAAGAGTATACTAAAATGTAATATGTAAAACCTAAGAATTTGGTTTTTGGTCAGCGGAACGCGGGCGGAGCCTCGGGCAATGCTAGTAGATGACAAAAATGTGTACATCAATCATCTTTTTAATTTATCTATAAGTATATTTGCTAGTAACTACGAGTATGTTACACTTATATCTTATTTATTATCGGACGTTCAACTATGTTAGATAACGTAAAGCCCGAAATCACTATACCTATTATCGAAATTTAAAGAGGTTCGTTTAATTATAGATATGTTGGGATGGACATGTTGATATTATAAAAAAACTCATACATATAAGAGAACATTACCTAAAATAGAAAATAACTAGCGACTCACCTTCGCTTCGCTCGGGTTCATTCCACCCCATTTGTACTCCCTTTCCGGGATAAAAGCTATCCTATATCGTTCCTCAAACTATTTTCTTAATAGACTCCTACAAACAAACTTACAAACTTTACCTCTTTGAGTCTTTATAATATCAGTATGATTAGTTTTAACTAAGTAAACGACTTCGTTACCGTAGTCAAGTAGCCATTTGTGCAGGATATTTTATGAAATTAAATGAAAAGTTATAGACAGTTCCATCCTTATCATAAGGGCACACGGGGCACATGCCCGGGGCCCCAGCCCCACGAGGGCCCCGAACAGACATCATAATCGTTTTCTTGAAAGGAGAAAAAAGTTCAACTTTTAGTTTATTTTTCACTGCATTGCACTGTATGTATAACTAGCGACTCACTCTCGCCTCGCTCGGGTTCGTGCCTAGGTTGGTTTCCCATACAAAATTTTATCCCCATTTTCACCCCCTTAAGGGATGATTTCCAGGATAAAAAGTATCTTATGTCTTTCCCAGGGTCTCAAACTATCTTTTTACCAAATTTCATCGAAATCGGTTCAGTAGATCCAGACATTACCCCCTACAAGGTCACAAACTCACAATTCACAAACTTTACCTCTTTATAATTTAGTATGGATACACCGCATATTGCATAATATAAAATATTATGTTTCTTAGTCAACTTGTTCCCATTGTAGTTCAATTTTTTACACCATCGAGTTTTTTTTATATTTTAGTAAAAGAAGTTATCATTCATATTTTTTACTTTATAAAAGGGCCCTAAGTTGTTGTGTATCCAGGGGCCCCGCAAGACTTAAGACGGCCCTGTTTATAGATGATATCACTCACTCTCTGGCGAACAAACGTACACACAAACGATCAAACTGACGTACTTTCACATATATATTAATTTGCAGGACATGAAAAAGTCGTAGCGCTTATAACACATGGTGGACTTCTCAGTTTGACTGAAGCGATGTCCTCTGGAAAACCAAGCATAGTTATACCTTTCTTTGGAGATCAGCCTGCTAATGCAGCTGCCGTATCTGAAGCCGGCGTGGGCTTAGTGCTGTCTTACCAGGACATCAGCGAGGAAAGCTTTTATAATGCCCTACAGCGTGTTTTAAGTGAAGAGTAAGTAAAATCTCATGTAATAAGTATTATAATTAGGATATTTTACGCGAACGATTATGGGCGATGGCCTTTATTTTATTCCGATCCGTAACATGTTAGTCTTACGCAACGATTATAAATATGAAATTCTAAAAGTACATTTTAAATTTAACAAACAATACACATTGTGTGAGCCAAAATATAACTTATTTCTATTAATAAGCTTACGTTTTGTTTTTTTTTCTCGTTCAGTGCGACATGTACTTGCGTGACTCTATGCTGATTTATCTCCTGAACTAAGTTAGATCCAATTCTGCAATTTTTATATATTTTGGCTTTATGTTGCAGTAAAAGATATTAAAATTAGAATGTTCGAAGTTATTAAAAAAAATTATTTGAAATATTTATTTTTATACCTATAAAGACTCGTTTGACTCAGTTTGTAGTGCTCCTTCTTGCTGTGCTAGCGGTCGCAGGTTCCGCTGGGGGCATTCATTTGTGTGATGAACACTAATGTTTGTAGTACAGTCATGGGTGTTTATATTTATAATTTTGTCAAAATTAAATTAAGATTTGATTTCATAAAAAACATAAAAGACTAGTGGAAAAACAAAAACAAATCTATCCCACGTGAACGGTACATTCTTCCGGAATAAGAAGCCTATGTGCTATTCCAGACTATAATCTATCTCTGTGCCAAATTTCATTCAGATCCGTTCAGCCGTTCTGGCGTGATTGAGTAACAAAAATCCATCCAAACATCTAAACCTTTACATTTATAATATTAGTAAGATACATATATTTTATTAGATACCTAATATATCATATTATATTTTCTGATTCAATCGAACCACAGAAATCTTAATAATAAAGTTATTATTAAGATTCTGTGAATCGAACTAATATGGTCTGTAGTCACAATTTTATAACTCTATATTAGGTGTATCCGCGACTCTACGTTTAATTATTTCACCAGAATATACATATGTACATAAATACAAGGTATAAAGCCCATACCGGATGACACCCATTTACGTAACGTTTACCCGTTTACTTATATCTATAATACTCAGTCAGTTTATGGATTCTTCCTGTGACTTGCCAGTAGGTACTGCGCAAATAGAGACATATATTTTTTTTACTTTCCCTTTATGTAGGTAAATAAATAGTTATACATCTTCGATACTGTTACTTGATTTTAATATAAATGTAATCAACGATCATTTTTTACTGATTTGAAAATGAGAACTTGTAATCGATTTTCATATAACTTTTTTTATTTATAGGTTATAAACCCAATGGTCTCATATAAGTGTTTATAATTATTCTTTATTTTATTACAGAATACGTACGAACGCACAAAGGGTGTCGAAAATATGGCAAGACAGGCAATCAGCGCCTTTAGACACGGCCATATTCTGGACAGAACATGTGATCCGGTGGAAATCCCCTCAACTTTACTCCCATGCTAAGAATCTCAACGTTTATCAACTCTCACTGTTAGACGTCGTTGCTTTTATTATAATAATTATTTTAACAATAATATCCTTGTTGCTGTTTGTTTTTATGAAACTTATTAATATTTTTAAAAAAGGCAGAAAGGCAAAGGTACATTAATTGAAGGGCGTAGATACTTTATTGTAAATAAAAATAAAATTTAATATTAAAATAATAATTAAGTAAAATAATGAAGGTTATTTTCATTTTGACAAATATCTTGTTTATAATCGAATTATTTGATCATTTTATTGATATATTTTTATATCTTAGGTAGATATAATTGCTGAATTCAAATGGAACATCTAGGAAAAAAGGTCAGAGAAAGCAGTGGCGCCCTCCAATCGTTTAACTGACTTTTTTTCCCTCATTAATTTCTTCTTTTTTAATTCGGTTAATATGAAATACAAATCTTAGAATTTCTCGGTTTTTCTGTACTACAATATGGATGTATTATACATATAAACCTTCCTCTTGAATCACTCTATCTATTGCTGAAACTGCATTAAAATCCGTTGAGTAGTTTATAAGATCTAAGCGAACAGACAGCGAAAGCGATTTCATTTTTATACTATGTAAAGATAATACTTTTTTAGATTTACGCGAATATTTGACATTTTAATTAAAACTATCTTTTCGGTTTTTTCGCGGATTTATTTTGATTTTTTGTTTTTCGTTTCGAATGCTTTCAGCAATCATGGTCACGGGACAGTCTCTCCCGTGACCATGATTGTTTTAATTTTATTAATGTTATACATAATGTTTTGTGATATTTTTCTCAATATACATTTAAATTTATACATATTTTAATATTTTTTTTTATTTCATTAAAATTCTTTATAGTTGGTATCTTCTAGTTCTGCCTATTTAAGAAATATAGGAATGTATTGTTTGTCAAAAACTTTATTAATAGTTCAAAAAACTGCTTCAGTTCGGGGCCCTCAGACTAGATGTACCTAATTTTAAAATCGTTAAATTAAATTTTTGTCTTTTTAATAAATAATTATAATATTTATTAAATAATAAAAGTATAGTTTTGGTTGTAATATTATGCACGGATCTATTTTGTTCACAATTTATTGTAGATTATTTTCGTATATGATACTTTTTGCGCTAAATCGAAAAGTTTTTGAAATTTTAAAGAAAAACTGATGAAAACTACTAATTTACCAACTTACAACCCCCTCCCACCCCAAACCCGACGCTCAAAATAGTGTAACTTTTTACCAATCAATATGTGGATTGTATAGAACAATTTGGAGCTTGAGGGAATATTTTACTTTGGATGTTGAGGTTAGGCTGTTTTTAGACTAATTGCACTATACTATCTGTACAGAAAATACACGCACAAAGCACATTCGAGTACAAAATTCTTAACTATATTGGACTAAGATCCCATTGCAAGATTGCTACGTTTATGGCATATTTAATCGAAATATTTTTTTTATATACAATAATAAAAGGGACAATATGTTTTGACCGGGGTGCTTATTCAAATGCGCCCGCTAGTATGTTTAATTAACTAAATAATAGTTGACTTTTTCGAATAAAAACGATGCATTTGTTATTACAATGAATTATACTTCACTTCACAGAACTATACGTAGAGATCTTGAAGAATGATAGCTGCCGTTGCGCATTTGGCCGCAACCTCTTCGCAGCCAGGTGTAAGCGGGTCATATTTTGGGACGTTTATACGTTCATCGCGTATGTTCATCATTTATATATCAAATTAAAGCTAATTTTTTCTGTACCTGATAAACTACGTCTGCCTATGTAAAAGTGGCCGCAAAAGTGGTTGCGAGTCATTAAAAATGTATTTGTTAGATTTATACGTTATATTCATCATTTATACATCAAATTAAAGCTATTTTTTCTGTGCATGATAAAATACCTCTACCTATGTAAAAGTGACCCCAAAGAAAAGAAAAGAAAGAAAGAATATAATATTATATGTCATTTGTCAGACAATAACAACACCATGGCAAAGATAGATTAAAGTGAAAGAGAGAGAGAGTGGTTTCCGTCACGTAAAATATGAACTCTATGTAAAAAATAAGTGGCTTGGATTGCCTAAAATTTATTAGAAGCATAGAAAAAAAAATCATTAGATTACTTTTTTTCTCATCGTGCGTTTATTATTTACAGTGAAGGAAGAGTATAAATTATAGAGTAGGTATAGTTTCTGATAAGCTACAATGAGGAAGCGCGAAACCACGGTAATATTACATACATTACCGTGGCGAAACTCTTATTTCTAAAAGTAGAAGTTTTTAGCGGAACCAAGAGTTTGAGTTAACTCTGTAGCGTCTGTAGTGTTCGAATCGTCTCCGTCTGTGAACTAGTGTCAAGTGGAGAAAGTGCGAATCACAACACGCCGCAAGCCTGTGTGAGTAAAACTCAAGAGCAGTGGTCTGTCTCACTGTGAGTACCCTTTCCACTTAACGGACATTGACAGTGCTGTAGAACATCGATAAAAAAATAAATTTTGATCGATGGTAGTTAAAATATGTCCATATCTAAGTTTTGTAAATTATATATTACTAGCAAAACAATTACAAGAAAAATATCTAAAAAAGTAGTTTCATACCAACTTTACCGCTTACTCCCTTATAGGATAAACTTCGAAAAACGCTAAAACACGTATTTATTTAATTTCATTGAAGGGCATTAATACCAAGTTTCAAGTAATTCTGATCACAAATATTTTTTTTGATTGTATTATAACGTGTTTTCCCGTGGGAATTAAATAATCTCCCGCGGTAAAAAGTAACCTATGTTACTCTCCAGCCCTCCAACTATCTCCACACAAAAAATCACGCCAATCCATCACTCCGTTTAACGTGAAAGAACTTCAAACAAACAAACAAACACACTTTCACATTTATAGTATTAGTACAGATATGGATATTCTTATGATACGTCCCTACTGCTACAGTAATGTGTTGGGTACTAAAGCAGCCGCTAAAGGCTCAAACACACAATGTTTGTTCAAAAAAATTGCGAGCTAGAACTAGTGTTACCTATTACTTCCAGGGGGTTATTTGCGTAAATGATACAATTTGATGACATTATATATATTATATATCTATATATGTGCATCTTATCTATGTATATTTGTATTTATATATCTATTCATATATTTTGCCTCTATTTCAATAAAGTATAATACAATAATTAAATTTAAAAAAATACATTAATAAAAAATACTAAATTTAGCATCCTAAGTTGATAGACAACACCCTACATGCTCCAAATCCAGTCGTATTCTCTCCACAATGTTGCGCTTGACTCTGAAATCGAGGACACGTTGTCATGAAGACCTGTTAATACCTCGCTCATTTGATTTCTTTGCAATGCGCTACGCCACGCGTTCATGGTTTGGTAAGAATTGAGGAGATTTTGTACGGCTGCTATGTTTGACTGGTGAACTTTTACTACATTAAACAGATCGACAAATCGATCTTGATGGTTATGATCAATCAATCCGCTCAAACGTTGGAGGATGGTCACCTCATCTTTCACAATAAGCGTACGAAGCAGGTACGCTAAATCATCACTTTGGATTTTCAATTCGGTCAAAAGGTTCTGTATACCGTGTGTAATGAATACCATTAGTGTAGCTTTCTCCTCTAAAGTAAATCTACGAGTATCGTAATTCACCGAGTTGATGAATGGGAGCACATAATTACGTCCAACACCGGCATTAGAACTCCGTGGATTTTCGCCGTGTGAGTTAGGTCCAACGAACGAGTTGAAGGGTAAATAAGCCACGATCGTCGATAAAGCCTCAGTTATTGATATGGGACCAGACCTTGCTCGATTCGATGAATATTGCCCTCGTGACCCTTGAAACCCCCCTAAAAAAATTACCATATTTTAGAATATCAATATGTGTAGGTATATCTATATTTTCGTGAGGGCACACTAAACAAAAAAAGTTATGGGGACTGCCGACGGAAGTGAAAACTTAAAACTATAAACAAACAGTTGTTATTTTTTGTATATTCAAATTAAGATCAAACAATTAAATTAAAATTTGTAAAGTAAAACTTTTTACATTTATCTGGTTTTGACATCTATCGGCACACTATCGGAAACATAGGTTTTATTTAACAGATAAATATATTTTTTTGGAGCAATCTGAATAGATGTTAGTAGCAGCCTGTATCGCTAGCGCAGTAATCTAATATAGTGGTTTATATGAAACTTTTGCTACCGCCAGTATAAGTTCTAACGTACAGATAACTGATGATGTTCTCCTAGCCGATTCCGGCCACGGCGGCCATCTCAACGAGATTAGCCAACTGCGCAGGAGATATTATAGTGCTCAAGTGTACGCGCAGACACGAGTGCACTCTCTGTTCCTATCACTCTCATACTCCGGTGGGACGACCACTCGACACGACCGGTGAGAGTTAAGGCGCAGGACCGACGGCTTTACGTGCTCTCCGAGGCACGGGGGTGAAATACCGCCAACTTCCCAACTCCGGGCGTTACTGAGATTTACTATACAGGAAGACTCAATAACTAAACTTGGCCCGACCCGGGACTCGAACCCAGGACCTCCGGGTGTGCAGCCGTACATGCTAGCCACTACACCACCGAGGCAGATAACTAAACGCGTATCGTAAAGATCAGTGAATCGTATCGTACGGTTCATAAAACCTTTTTTTTTTCAATGCAATATGAACGACAATTGACATTGTTTTGTAGTAATCAAGAAAAATGTATACTCACATGAGAGACCGAAAATAGCTACAAGTAGTACCGCAGCACTTCTATTAAACAACATGATGATGCAAGTATCCGAAGACTTGTGAAGCTCAACGGACGCGTATGACTAAATGGACTGAAATCTTATCGTATAGAAGATGCTAGTGGGAGAAGTCAGGGTGGTAGGTCGTGGTTTTCCCATCCATAAGTTGGAACTTATCGATGGGAAAATCCTTTGGTTTCTGATTACATGACCCAACTATCAATAAAATTGACCCGGGGACACAAATCGAATTAAAATACACGGTATATTTAATGTATTACTTAAAACTAAGAATTACGAAGTAAAAATTAATTTAAAAAAAAAATAAACCGACTTAAAAAAAACTAAAAAGTAAAAGAAAACTAAACGGGGACTTTCATTTACTATAGAGACCTTCGAAAATATCTGATCCTCATATCAACCCAACCTACTCTTTCACATTTATATTAAAAAAAAGATTAGTACCTATTAGCAGAACCGGCGTCTACGCTCGCGCTAAAACTACAAAAAAAACCTCTAAAAAGCTAGATTTCACACATACTTTCATACCCTATTTTACCGTCTTATGGGATGAATTTCGAAAAATACTAAAACACGTAGATATTTATTTACTGGTATTGAAGAGAATTAATACCAAGTTTCAAGTAATTCTGATCATAAATATTTTTTGAGTTATATTATAACGTGTTTTCCCGTGGGAATGAGATAATCTCCCGCGGTAAAAAGTAGCCATGTCACTCTCCATCCTTCCAACTATTTCCACACAAAAAATTACGCAAATACGTCATTTCGTTTTGACGTGGAAAAAGGACAAACAAACAAATACACGTTCACATTTATAATATTCGTATGGATGGATATTTGAAAAGCAATCTATACATATAATAAAATTCTGAGTCAAATCTGTATATTAAATATTTTTTGGAAAATCTTATTGAAATAGACATTAATATCGATAAAACGGCCAAATATATAGTTTTTACATTTTTTGTCTGTCTGTTACCGCATCACAGAAAAACTACTGGACGGATTTTGATGAAATTTGGTATGGTCATAGCTGATTATCCGGGTCAACATATACATACAATACAGGATACTTTTTATCGTAGAAAAATATCTCATTTCTGAGAAAAAATACAAAAACTGGTTAGAATAAAAAAACGATGATATGTACTACGAGATACACATTTTAGCAAGTTAACTTACTAAATATGACAAAAACTATTAAAAATAGCTAATCTTGAAAAAGTATATCAGTAGCACTATTTTATTCATTATAAAAGTTATTTTAATGAATATTTATTTCTGTATTATTTAGATATTTGTCAATAGATGTCGAAAAATTAAATGTACAAATTAGACCTTTTTATGATTTTATTAGAATTACTACTAAATTACCCGCGGCCCCGACCGTGTTCAAATTATCAAAAAACAATCTTTTTGGCTTTATAAATTAGTTTCATCTATAGATACATTAAAATTTATCTAAACCGTATCTGTGCTTTAATATTATTTTGGAAAATCTTATTGTAATACACATTATTATCGCTAACAGAAGCCGAACCTATAGTTTTAAGAATTTTTGCCTGTCTGTCTGTGACCGCATCACAGAAAAATTACTGGAGGGATTTTAAAGAAATCTGGTATGGTAATAGATGGTTATCCGGGTCAACTAATATACTAATGCGAGTATACTAATATGTAAAACCTAAGAATTTGGTTTAGGTCATATGAACGCGGGCGGAGCCGCGGGCAATGCTAGTAAAGCATATAAAGCGGAATCTTTCTTTGCTTTCTATTGGATCCTTTTTTTAAACATCAACCTCACTGGAGGAGACTAAAAACAAATCGGATTTTTTTTAATACTTAGTTTTTTGTATTAAAAGTCAAATTCACAGATAAACTGTAATTTTTTTGTGTAACCATCTCGGGGTTTGAATATAGGAATATTAAAACCAGGTCACTAATATTAATTGAAAGAATTAAACAGACTATTTAGTTTCTCGTTTTATTTAAGTCTTCATAATCTTGTGGGAACATACAATCTTGCTCCATTTTGTTTTATTAATTATTATGATCTAAGGAATGATTTTCATTACAATAACATTTTATAAATTACTTAAATTTATAAATATAATTCTCAGTTAGCTTTTATTACTAAAAAATAACTTAAGGAGATTATAATATAAGCTTTTATGATAGAGGAAAGTAAGAAAAAAATATGTTACTAAATATACTGACAATATTGTATCAATATTATACAAATTGAAATAAAACCGCTTACAGCGATTTAGATTTTTATCTACGAACATAGCATAAAAACTTAGTATGATATGAAGGTTTAGTTTAATCACCTCTGTCCGAGTCAACTTAAGGTTTTCATTTTATGAAATAAGTATAAAATATACTAATGTCACTGAAAATATTTTAAGTTTTAAAGTTATCTAACAATCACTATCTATACATATGTTGGGGCAATAGCTAAGTGTTTGGTGAATTAAATTATAAGCATTAGATCTTAGCGGCATCACAAAAGTATTAGCATTATTACAAAATTATATGAAATCAGATTAAAATGTCATGTTTTGCTTAAATTAAAAAACATATATCTAACACCTACTTTGCTAGTGCCAATCATGGAGAGAGAGAGAGACAAAAAAATTTTGTTCTTATCTCTTTTCTTAAGCCTAAAAGTGGTAATGCACTCGCTTGGAAAACCGAGTGAAGCAGGTTCGAATCCCAGGTCTCGCACCTCTGATATTATTTATGTGCAAATCATTTCCATGATTAATACTTGCCGATCAAGGAAAGCCGTATGCTGGTAAGAAAACCTGCATGTCTGAGTACTAGCAAGTTTTCAAAAGACATATGAAGTTCGCAATCCAGCATGGGGCCAGCATGGTGAACTCTGGCCTGATCCCTCATGTATTAAAGAGAGGCTTGTGCCCAGTAGTGGGAACGTTAAAAAAGGGTTAAATACATCTCTTTTCTTACTACTCCCTTGCGCATGCGCCAAGACTCGAACTCGGAGGACAATAGATGTTTTTGTGTGCACTGTAGTGATTTCAACCGCCATCAGAAAGGCACAAGCAATATAAATATGTGCTACAACAGATATGACAATGCTATAATGAATATGACAATTTGCAATTGAATGAATATGACAATCATGTATATAAATGAAATTACTTATTATTTAGATAAAGTATAATACTATACTTTATACAACTAAAATATATTATGCATAGAATATTTCTATATTTTATTTTTTAAATTCGCATCCTTATGTTTACCTTATTGATACATTGAAACATGCTAAACAAAAGAAGATAATAAAATGATATTTATACATCAATGAATAAATATCTAATCATTTTTTTATGACACATGAAAAACTTAGACAAACATTGATCTCTAATTTGACATCTTAATTTTTGCTATATAAAATAATATGTCTCTAGGAGACATTAACATTAGTTTGAAATTGAATTGAGTAAATACTTATTTAAAAAACAAACAAACTGTACATAATTTATTATAGCATTATCATTTTAAAGTATAATTTAATGATTATAGTTTAAGAATACATGTTTATGTTCTACCAGTAAAACTTTGAATTAAACCAATTTTGGTGCCGCCAGCACATCTAAAAGCTATGATTGCAGTAATTATAAGAACAATATATGATGGTAAAATTGTAACAGCATATAATTCCTTTTTGTTGAGTAAACTGAGTCCTGACACGAAGAAATGTGAGCAAAAAACCCATGCAATTTTCAAATAATTCTTGTTATCCAATCCACTGAAAAATATCACACTCCAAAAGGTATTGAGCAGTGTCATGCAGAGAGTCATTGCTGCACTTGTAACAAAGAAGTATTCTGTTCCACTGTGAAGGCCTAGAGTGCCTGGACCCACCTGTAAACATGAAAAATTTATTTATAATGAAATGATATAATATTAAATACCTCTGTGAACGTAAAAACTATGTACACCATTTATTGTTAATGTTTGTTATAAAATTTGAAACAGAATATTTGAGAAAAACTTACTGAATCTGCCAGAACATTGATTATTGCAAACGCTCCACTCATTGTTCCAAATCCAAGTCCTGATACATAAGCCATCTCCAATTTATGAGATCTACCATCATGGTTTTCAGATATTACTTTCAAACCAGCTTCAGTAACTTTTAATAATAAGTACATTCCATAGCGAAAGGCTTCCTATTATAACAATAAAAAAGGATTTAATACAATAAATACCACACGAGGAATATTTCATTTAAATTTACATTAAATTACCTGAATTATAATAGCAAACACCATTCCAAAGGCTAGATAAGTTCGAAGGGGAACAACAGCATACCATAATAAGGATGAAACTAAAAATGAAAGAAGCCATCCAAACGCAGCTGCTATCATAATAATAATCCGGATGGGGTCGTTGGCAATAGTTAGTGCAAACATTGCCACTGGGGGCCCAAAGGCCAGTAAAGAACAACTAAAAAACTCGGCGAGAGTCATCTTACTAGGTGTCTGAATTTACATTAAATTTAATCTATACAACGTATTCAACTCAAGCATTCCTTGCTTTGCATATGTAAGCAAAATATTCAGATTTCACAGAATAATAATGATGTTTTTATGAAGCACAATCGATTACATATTTAGAAAAATTGTTCGACTATATTTGGAAAATGTTTTGTCACAAAATGTCAAACAATGAATGAATGAATCATGTCATTTGTCAAATAATCTAACCATAGATATAAAAACCTATTATAATAGGAACCATGGAAGACTAAGAACAATCATTATTATTAAATTAATTTTTCTCTTCCATGGTAGTAACTAAGTTGTTTTTTTAAGTTGTTTATCGGAAGTTTATTTAAACGGCAGTACTATTATTTGCTAAATTATGGTGAAGTACTATGTAATAAAAATTAAAAATAATTTATTCCAATATTATGTATACATAAAATATATAATAATATTTAATTATCTTTTCGAGGCATTTACACGGATAACTTCTGTGACGATGCACAAATAATTATTGTGGAAACCAATGGAAAATTCAATTCAAAAGAAAGAAGAATTTTGCAAAAGTTAAAAATAATTGCACTCACAGATTAAGAAGAATCAAGGATGGCATCCACATTTGGCTCACAGACCAGGAATATTTTGGCTATTCAGTATTCACCACTGTATATGTAGCAATATACTCTATGCCACTGTCCTCTCGAGTAGGTAAGTGTTCTGTGCCACTCATAGAGTATATTGCTACATATATAAAGTGCCACTGTCACACTGACAGTGACATTATTAGGTAATAATAGGCAATAGGTATGCAGGGGTAAAAGTATAAATAACCTAAAAATTATAGTAAATGTTTATTTGTTGATGAATGAAAATCACTGTTAATGTTATAATGCCACCAAAACAAATAAAGAAGACTCTATGGGTCGAATGTGAACGGTGCCATTGCAGCGTTCTCTCTAATGATAAGAAAGTTCATATTGATTTAAATTGTGGAAAAGATCAGGTTAAATGTCCATATATTGAAGATGATACGCTATATACGTGGTTAGAGAGATCTAGTGCTCCTCCAGACAATGTGCCCAAAGATGCTGTGCTAGTACATCCTTCTGCAGGATCACTAATTAGGGCTGTAATTGGTAGACCTTTAGAGTTGAAAAGAGAAGGAGCTCCGACAATAGTAAAGCGTATGTGGCCATCTAAAGCATCTGCTCCGGCTGCTGTGATTTTACCTGCAGCAGGTAAATTTTATTGTTTAATTTTTCTGATAGGCACAAGTCCTTTTTTATACTAAGTCTTAATTTAATAATTGATAAACAAAAAGAAAATAAGTGTTTAAAGCTTAAGTTTAAAAATTTCGACATATTAATTTATAAATAATAAATCCCTTAAAAAGCGAAATTAATGTTTTCTTTATATATTTGAAATTATGTTTTCTTTATATATTTGAAATTATTAATTTGGTTTCAGATCTTACTGGAGCTTGGTGCAGTGACAATAAAAAGGTTACAGTATCAATTTTACAACAAACAGTACCACAGGCTTTGTGTGTTACAGTTAAAATTAAAAATTATAAAATAGATTCAGATATAAGTGATATTTTGAAAGAAAGATTCAACAATCATTATATCTCTGTTGGCAGTGTTTTTGTGTACTACTATTTTGGAAGAAAACTACAATTAGAATTTTTAAACATTAAAAGTGAAGTAGAAAATGTGAAATGGTATCTTTTATGTGATAGTACTGTGTGGAATTTGGAGCAAAATACCATTCAGAAGGTTAAGAGAAAATCCCCAAATTTGGGTGGCGTCGATGACATAATTGATGAAATTAAAAGTTTAATAAATATTTCTTTTGACACTACTGGTTTTGCTGCTAGTTTTCAACCGACAAGAGGCTTACTTCTCTACGGTCATTCTGGCATCGGTAAAACTGCAATATGTAAATATCTTATAGATAATCTCAATTGCTCCCACATTGAAATAAATGGGCCAACAATATTTAGTAAATATTTTGGTGAAACGGAGGCTACTATGAAAACTTTGTTTGCAAAAGCTGTTACAAGTGAGCCAAGCATAATTTTAGTGGATGAAATAGAAACTATTTGTCCACGTCGTTCCTCTGGTAGTACTGAACAAGAAAGACGAGTTACTTCAGCATTTGTCTCATTACTTGACAATTTACATCAAGAATCCAGTAAAGTATTTATATTGGCTACTACACGGAAACCAGATGCAATAGATCCTATGCTCAGAAGATTTGGGCGTTTAGACAAAGAAATTGAGGTTCCTGTACCTGATAGATCACGACGAAAAGAGATTCTGTATGCACTGCTTAAAAATCTTCCAAATAAAGTAAATTTACAGGATATAGATTCGATTTCCGATTTGGCTCATGGATATGTTGCCGCTGATTTAGTTAATTTGTGTACGCAGGCATCAATGAGGTGTTTGAAACGAGCTAGTGACGTTTTGGAGAAAGAGGACTTAATAAGTGCATTAACTGTAGTCAGGCCGAGTGCCATGAGAGAGTTGTTGATTGAAGTCCCAAATGTTAGATGGTCGGATATAGGCGGACAAGATGATTTAAAGTTAAAATTACGTCAAGCTGTAGAGTGGCCATTGAAGCATTCGGAAAGTTTCCGTCGCCTAGGAATCTGCCCACCAGCAGGCGTTTTACTGTATGGACCACCAGGATGTTCCAAAACTATGATAGCGAAGGCCCTCGCAACTGAAAGTGGGCTAAATTTTATCTCAATTAAAGGCCCAGAGTTGTTTTCTAAGTGGGTTGGAGAATCAGAGCGTGCAGTCCGAGACTTATTTACGAAAGCACGCCAAGTGGCACCGTCCATCATATTCTTTGATGAAATGGATGCTATTGGAGGAGAGAGGGGTGCAGGGGAAGCGGGTGTTCACGAAAGGGTATTAGCCCAACTTTTAACGGAACTAGATGGGGTAGTGCCTTTGAATTCAGTAACAATTTTAGCAGCGACTAATCGCCCTGATAGAATGGACCGTGCGCTACTTAGGCCAGGACGACTTGACCGACTGATATACGTACCGTTACCAGATTTCGAAACGAGATTGCAAATAATAGAATTGAAGTTATCTAAAATGAGTACCAGTGACGATGTGAATTCGCATAATTTGGCAACAAGGACAGAAGGTTTTTCTGGGGCAGAATTAACAGCGTTATGCCACGAAGCGGCGTTACGTGCTTTGGAAAAGGATCTCGATTGTCCAGAAGTTACTATGGAGCATTTTGAGCATGTGTTGAAAGATTTTAAACCGAGGACTCCGAAATCTTTATTGAATGTTTATGATGAATTTGTATTGGGGCAACACTCTGGATGATTCACGTTATCTAATGGATATTGTTGGAGAATATAATATTAAAAATTTTACTATTCTACTCCCGACTAATTCACCTTTCAAACAAAAAAAAAAACAAAATCAAAATCGGTTCCTCCATTCGGGAGCTAAGATTCCACAAACACGTCAAACTTTAACACCCCGTCGTTTTTACGTCGGGGGTTAAAAACTAAAAAAACACGCATTTGAATTAAGTCTTGACTACAATGTTATGTATGGAACTCGTCAAAATGAATCTAATGGGCCCATTATACTTGAAAGTTACTAGTAAACATTGACAAATTCAACTATCTGGTATATGGTATCTTACTATGGGGAAATGCAGCTGTTACATTGTTAATTTTAGTCTATTTAAGTTATGAATTTTACAGTGTATATAATTAATTTTATATCTGTGAAACTTTATATTTACTTATGACAATAACAATATCAGCTATACTATACATATATGAAATAAATAAAAAAAGCAGATTAATTATTTAGACAATTTCATATTTTATATAAAACAAAAATATTTGAAGTACATATTAAAAGAAAACACATTTATATTGTAACTATTTATTCAAGTAAGAAATCTTATACACTATATAAATTAATAAAAGATCTAGTCCTTATTCTATTTTCCTTATAAACCCTTAAACACACCATCCAAATCAGTGCAGAAAATTTTGAGATCTATGCGTACATACATAATTTAAAACAAACAATTATAAATTGCTTAAAGTACATAATTTAGCAAAAAGTCTACATTTCCATATGATTGAATATCCAATGATAGATATATCCATAATTATGATTAACATTAAAAATATACATACAGACAAACATAAAACCTCCTTTTTGGAAGTTGATTAATTATAATCTGGTCAACTAAAATAGTTTATTTAATGTGCTTTGGTTGTATAAATTAACATATGTTTAAGTAAGTACCTCACACTAAAGCTCTTGTAATTCTTTACATACATATATTATAATGGCCCAACGCTTAGTAGTCATAGTCCACTTTGTAATATTTAACTTCACTCGTTAGCAAATAGTACTCACTAATCATGTTGAAAATAATATTCATACATGAAAATCTTTACCCCAACCAGTCTCTTTAGTGCTACAAAATATACTATGTAAAGGCTTAGAGCTGTTTATTGATGTTTAGAACAAGTTTAGTGTGATAATAACCAAAGACCTGAGTTATAAAGAGAGTATATAAAGCTTCAATTGACCAAATTATATTACCAGATGGTTATTTAATTTAGGTCTTTTCATTAATTGTTTTAAGGCAGACGGTCGCTTGAAACATGATACTAACATTCAAATGAATCTTTTAAAGCTGAAGTTTTATAGATAAATGAAATCATATTCCTCGTGATATATTTTTCATACAAAAATCAAGGTTAAAATAATATATAAACTTAAAATAACCAAACCATTAGCTTATATTAGATTGTAAGCTATCAACAGAAGCCATTTGATTAAAAAAATCAATCGTAAACTAACCTATTTGTATTAAAAAAAAAGAAATATCTTTTACATTATATAATAAACTAGCATTGCTCGCGGCTCCGCCCGCGTTCAGATGAACAAAAACCAAATTTTTAGGTTTTACATATTAGTATACTCTTACAATGCAGTTTTTGTATTTTGTCTCAGAAATGTGATATTTTCCCGCGATAAAAAGCATCCTATATGTAGACCCGGATAACCAGCTACCATCATACCAAATTTCATCAAAATCCCTCCAGTGGTTTTTCCGTGATGCGGTAACAGACAGACAGACAGACAAAAAATCTAAAAACTATAGATTCGGCCTCTGTATCGATAATAATGTCTATTTCACTAAGATTTTCCGAAAAATATTTAATGTACAAATTGGCAAAAATATTTAATGTACAAAATGGCTTAGTTACAATTTTATTATATGTATGTATAGATAATATCAGCTTTAGAAGAATAACTATTTGGATGCCAGCATTTTGTTATGATTTTGTACGCACAAGCCAATTGTCTTTCAAACTTTTTTGGTAACTTATGGTATATTTATGATTAATATTATCATTATATGTCCAACATTCCTACTAAAGCATTAAGTCATATTGCAAACTATGATTACATACTTGTGACACACATTTATACAACTGCGTATAATTAAAAGAAAACAAATCTTATGGAGGGTGAAAATAATATGTTAATTCATTTTGAAATTAACATACGAACACATGTAGATACATATTAAATTTTAAATAAATATTTTTAAACATAAAATTTGACAAAAAAACAATTTAAATCAAATAAATGTTATTAAATTAAACATCAATTTGAAATTATATAAATTGGCCATAAGGCCAAGTATATAAATACTATATTGCGATTATATTTCATTATCTTTGTCAACCAACAATTTGTTAAGTAATAAATAATGGCATATACACACTTATTAGTAAAACTAGCGATTCACCCTTGCTTTGCTCGGGTTCGTCCCTGGTGATTCTTTAAATTGACATAACTTTTTTATTTATGAACCGATTGAAACAAACAAATATTAACATTAGTGAAAACCGCACCCAAATCGGTTAAGCTATTCCTGAGATTAGTGCGTACAAACGCACCGACAAACACACAATAATTCTAAATATTGTTTTGGGTTCTATTGCGTTAATAAAGACCCCCACTGAAAGTTTTCCTCAAATATCTTACATGTACAAACAGCGAGTAGTTACAATTTTATTATATGTAAACACTAAGTTTTTACTGTCAAAAACATGGTAAAGAAAGATTATGAAATATAATTTATAAATGGATAAGCATGCATGATATTGGGTAAATGCGATATTCTAAGAGTTTGTGCTCAATAAACTACTTCCAATAATATGTAAATATCAGATTATATATTTTTCTTTATACCGGATTGGAACCTGTGAACACCAACATTAGTGGCAATGATAATCAGATAAATTAACAATTATAATGAGCGTCTCGCAGATTGAAATATAACCTAGATTGTGTATATAAGGTCCCTTTTACACTCAAAAGAGAATTCTTTTATATTTTCATGATGATTTTCTACTTTTCTTACTCAAGTTGTCATATTCAATAAATATTTTTTATGCTAAAGCATAGTTATTGTCATACATATTTGCAATTTAAATATTTGCCTCAAGTGAAAATCGAACCCGCTATTATAATATTGAAAAAGTATAGAATCTGATGTTTCTCATATGAAATGCAACAACAAGTCAATCATGTTCCAATATATATTCAGTCTTAAAAATATTTTTATTACATAATTATTTCTAAAGTCACTTTATAATTGAAATATTACATTTGAACTAAATCTTACATTTTTGTATCAAATATTGGTTTATTTCTCAAAACACAATTTTTTTCCTTAATGTTATTAAAAATTTCTGCAAATAAATTAATTTCTTTCTTTCTTTCGAGAATATAAATAGAATGCTTGTAATTTCAAATTAAGAGTAGAGAGGGGAAAAGCGAGGTTACATTTTAATTTCAATTTGGTTAAAGGGGTTCGAACATTTTAGCTTCCAAGCTAGCGTTAGCCACTCGCCGCCATTTTTTTTCAAATTAACAGCATAAATGACACTGGATTGTATGTATAGAAGATACTTAAACAAACTAAATATATCAACAATATGGTGTACATACTAAAGTGTCACGTGTCTGGGGTATTCTGAGATAAATATCCCTTAAAATTGGAACTATAATTTTAATACAGCTAACACATATTAATATGTAAATTGTAATAGTAGGGGAGCCCAAGAGGGGATTTTCTGTAGTTACTCGAGCGCGGTAGATTAATATACAGGGGGATACCTTGTACCCGGTTAAGTACCTCCACAAAACATGAGGCCCATATATAAGGCCGCCCGAGAAGGATACAGGATCAGATTAGTAAAAAAAAATTGACCACCAGAAATTCTCGAGCGCGTCAGATTAAGGTAGGGTGAGTTAATTACATCCTAAAAAGTGTATATTCCACTAATCTGACAATTTGAGAGTGACGTAAAAAAAGGGGAGGGCAACAAAGTTGTAAAAAAAACGTCATCTCGACATTCTCGAGCGTAGCTAAATTTTTTTTTATTTTGAAGGAAATAATGCAAGAATAATGAAAAATATATAATCTGACGATTTCCGCAAGCCGAAATAACAAAAATTCGTCGATAAAGTTAAATGCGTGCAGCTGCGTGATGCCTACATTTCCTTCTCCGCGTTTCTATTCCTCTCTCACTCTTTCTCTATCTATTACTCTCTCACTCCGTCCCCACTCTGGTTTCTGCCGCCATGACGCCATCACAGCTGATTATAAAGATCATTTTGAAAGTGGTTTTTTTGGAATAACTTTTAACCGGCTTTATCAATTAACTTCAAAAACTAATCCGCTCTTAAGCTAGAAAAACCACGCCGATCGTCGCTAATCCGGTCAAAATCGGTTGATTCGTTCGAGAGATATCGTGAACGAAAGAAAACCGAAAAAAGTGTTTTTTCGGGATTACTCCGAAATTTTTGGTTCGATCAATTAAAACCTGAAAATAACTTATGAGGATGATAAAACTGCGTCGAATGCCGTCAGCCGCGTGAAAATTGCTTGATCTATTCAAAAGTTATTGCGGTTTGAAAATTCCAAAAATAGTGTTCTATGAAACTTCTATCAGACTTTCGAGCTGGGAGAGCTCAAATGCATAGAAATATTATTTCTTTGAACTCTGCGAGCTCAAAATATCACATAAATTATATTTTGAGCTCAAAAATGCCATAAGTACAATTTTAAGCGCACAGGAATGGAATTAGCGGGAAGTTGCAGGTATGGCCTTTAAGGTGAACCGTTTTTCTAATTTTTTTTTGTCAGATCAGGCGAATCCCTCTAGATAATCGTCAGATTATGAGACAGTACGTTTAGAACATAAAGATGAACCATATATATCTTAATCTGACGCGCTTGAGTATTTCAAAATGGCGATTTTTTTTTGCACATTATGAAAATGGCCGCGAGTTTGCGTCCCATCAAAATCGTCAGATTAGTGAATGAGAGCTTTTTTTTGGTGCACTTAACACTCCCTTAGAAAATCTGACGCGCTCGATAAAATTTTTTTTTTTTCATTTTCAACCCTTAAATACAACCACCCGCATCATGCAAACGATCAGATTAACATACGTACATTATTAAAAATACGTAGGGCATTTATGCTATCAATATCTGACGCGCTCGAGGATGTCTATGCAACAGTTTTTTTTTACATATTTAAAAATCTATAGCCGCTTCCCCCACCGATGTAAAGGTATATATCATATAACATTTTTTTCTTCTTATCATCTAAGCTTTGCATCCCAATAGGTCTCTACGACGCTCGAGTAAATCCCCATTTAGCTTCGTGGGCTCCCCTACCATAATTGATTCATCTCATTTGATAATAATCAATCATCATCTTCATAAAGCGATATTTATTACATACTGATATCTTTATTAATTTAAGTGTCTTCTGTCATTCAATTCATTGTCCATCACTAATTTAAAAAAAAATGGCTGTACAATGACAATATCGTAAAGCTTCTACCCCTTTCTTACAGGAGTTTATTTGGGGGTCATTTTTTTAGGGGTCATATCTGTTTGAGGGTTTTAAACCCGTAATATTTCGGTGTGTCGGTTATAACATATAGCAATCCAATCGGGTTGTGTTGCACCCCATTGTATCTGATTCACTTCGCCCTCTGCCGCAGTGTAGGCGAGGATGGGATCTTCTATAGCTCGTGGCATTTGTTGTATGTCCCATATTAAAGCTTGGTGATCGTCACCCGCTGTACAGATGTGGCAGGAACTGAAATTGTGTGGGGTTTTAATATTATTGTTAATATATTGTATAAACAAAAAAAACCCAGTCTACTTAAAAGCTGACTAAAAAGATGAGAACAAGTTGAAGTAATATAGTATTATGCACTCGGAGACATACAGATGTACATCTCGCGGCAAGGATGAAACATGTATGTATGTCTCCGATATTTGAAGACGTTTAATTAGACGTTTCAAGTAATATTTAACAATTTTTTATCCTAAATTACTTTTAACAATATAAGTTGTATATATTTTTGTGATCGCCTCTTCAAAACTTTTATTTTGATACACCACACGATTGGTTTGGAAGTTTTTTTAAAGACACACAAATTGGCGCCTGAAATCAGTCATTTTAATTTTTAACTATTGTTATATAGCCTATAACACTCGCGTTATTAGGAAGAATCTAAAGACGTATAACTAATCAAAATCGGCCCACGCGTTTAGTCTTATTTGCCACAATCTCGCAACTGTTAACTAATATTACGTTGATTATCCTAAAAACGAAGAATAAGAAGAAAACATACCTGTGCGGTGCCCAGGCGATGCCGTTGACGCAGGCGCGGTGGTTGTTGAGGCGCGCGACGGGCGTGCAGGGCACGCGCACGTCCAGGATGATCACCTCGCACGCGTCCATCGCGATCGTCGCCAGGTAGTTGGGGTCCTGCTTGTTCCACGCCAGCCGGAGCAGTGGTGTGTGCTGCGGGTCCTGTGGTGCGACATGCCAATTTTCTCTAACATTTTGAGATATTGTTCAGGAATGTTGTATGTACATAATATATTATGTAATAATGTCCTCCTGACCGATTCCGGCCACGGCAGCCAACCTCATTGAGACTAGCCAACTGCGCAGGAGATATTATAGTGCACAAGTGCACGCGCAGACACAACGTGCACTCTCTATTCCTTATCACTCTCATACTCCGGTGGGATGACTATTCGACACGACCGGTGAGAGTTAAGGCGCAGGACCAACGGCTTTACGTGCTCTCCGAGGCACGGGGATGGAACACCACCAACTTCCCAACTCCGGGCTGTTACTGAGGCTTACTATACAGAAAGACTCAATAACTAAACTTGGCCCGACCCGGGACTCGAACCCAGGACCTCCGGGTGTGCAGCCGTACATGCTAGCCATTACACCATCGAAGGAGTAAAGATAATATATGTACTATGTGTACAAACACATGTGTATCTTATAATAAATGAGCAACTCTTGTATCTATATACATTTACTAGCTGTACCCGCGGCTTCGCCCGCGATCAAACTACTAAAAAAAACAAACCCTTTGTCACACCGACAGCAGCGCCACCTACCGTGTACAATTGAGAATCTAAACCATTCCCAGATCCCCTTGAACACACACAAAAAATTTCATCAAAATCGGTCCAGTCGTTTGAGAGAAGTTCAGTGACATACACACTCACAGAAGAATTATATATATAAAGATATCGATTATTTAATGTCTTTATTTTCGTTTAATTAATCATTTTAAAAAGTTAATTAAATAAATTTTAATCGCCACATCTACTCGTAGTTAATTTTAAGTTTGTCACCTTGGCACTATTTTTTTTAGCTTTTTATATTACAATGCAGAGTCAGTATCCACATATCAAAAAGTTTTAATCAAAAAATTTACATACAGCTATTGTTCTTCTTCAAATTGGTGCGAAAATTCCGTAAAATATGTCATTCATATTATATACATTTTTAGGTAACTTTTTTTGTTCAATTTATTATTTAAGCAACAATTCGCGAAAACGGTATAGTTAACAATGAAGATTGATTTGTGAAAATACTATTTATATACTAATCTTTTGACAATGTGTGTGTGTATTTGTATTTGAGCACACAGTCTCATATACACAAACACACACACACACTTACATTAATATCACAATAATACGTATATACTATAAAAATCCATGCAACAGGCGGTCCAACCACAACCACTGATTACAACAGAAATATTGTCAAATTGGTTGTCAAAATAAACCCAATTTTCATGGTGAAGTTAAAGCGCTGTAGTGCCATCTCATAGCAAGTGACAGTTAAACCCTTGAACCCTAAAGCAGTTTCCCGACTGTCATATAAAAAAAAATCTAAATTTACCAATCAATCTGGTTCGTGTCTTCTCATTCCATGATATTGGCGAAGTAGTCTGTGCTCAACTAGCACACTTTGAAGCCATTATCAAGAAATTGGAATTGAATGAAAAACTGAAATTCATTTCCGGTCGGAGACGCGGGAAAGGCGTACCTTCTCTCCCGCGTTTCCCCCACAAGATTGCTCTATCTAGACATCTTCGTCATACAACTATAACATAATATAATGTACTAATAATTACAAACCTCATATATAATTGTGGAATGTTCTAGATGTCGCAAATCGAACATCCGTACCGAACCGTCTGCGCCTACTGACGCGAACATATCGCGCCCGCCACCGGCGCGACTGAACGCAATGTCGTACACTTCCTGAAATGTCATGAAACAATTTTAGCAAAAACTAGCTTTTTTTAATAAAAGAATTATGTAAAACTAGCAAGTCACCCTCGCTTTGCTTGGGCTCGTATATTTTAATTTTTTGGTATATTTTAATTTTTTGAGCGGAACCCTAATTCTTTTACTGAAATAATAGTAGCCTAAGTTACTTCTTAAAACATCAACTACCTGCCAGTGAAAGCACCGTCAAAATGGGCTCAGCCGTTTCGGAGATTAGCCGGAACTAACAAACAGACAAAAAAATTTAAAATTGTGTTTTTCTTATATAATTCGTAATATTCAATTCCTACAAAATTATTCTATACTGTATATAATTCCATATGCATTTAGTAAAAAAAGCTGTTATTTTGACATTACAAACAGACACTTTAATTATATTTGTTGGCTGTTAGTATAATGGTCATTCTTTGCTCATAATCTATACAGATAAATAAAATAGAAGTGCCTGTTTGTAATGTAATAATAGCAGCTTTTTACTAAATAAATTTGAAATTATACACGGTACTTATAAGGAAAACACACTTTTAGAAATCTTTTTTGTCAGTTTGTTCAGACTTTCCTTCGAAACGGCTAGACTGATTTTGACGGGACTACTAGGAAGTACCTAGGAATGCATATGAGCAAAGCCAGAGTAAATCTCTAGTATTATTAATAAAATCACCACGTAATAGTAACATTATATTGGAAAAAAACTGATATATCTTAGTTTTGCTAGATCCTAATTAATAGTTATATTCAAATTAATATTCAAAATATACCAATTCAAATTAATTCAATATGGAAGAGCAGCAAGAGACAAATTTATTTGTGTATATTGTTTACAATATACACACAAATGTGTTTCCAAAATTAATTAAATTTTATATACATATACTAGTACTTCATGGAATTAAAGAGTGCATATATACCTTAAAATATCTCTAAAAAATAAAGCTACACTAACCCAGGAAAAAGAACACATAAACAAACAGTTATATATGAATAATAAATATAGTACTTACTATATATTAAAACAGAAGTAAATTTAAAACTTACCTTATCATGAGCAATTAACTGTGTCTTAACATGTCCAGAAACCTCATTCACTCTGCCCAACACTTGGCCTGTTTCCAAGCCCCATATAGTACAAGTTGTATCAATACTGCTAGTGCCTATCAAATTGGGGTCTACTTCGTTCCAATCAAATGAAGTTAGCGGGGCACAAAAGTCTGAATTCTTGTTGTTATTTAATACACATTCAAATAGAGTGTATGGTTCACCGGCACGCCATATGCGTAGATAGTCACCTAAAATATTTTTTTGTGATTTATTTATGGAATATTCACTGCAACTTTTGCACAAACATAATATAACTTACAAAAAATAGGCTAAGTACAGTATTATAGATATAAGCAAAAACACAAACCTTTTAAAAAGGAGCACAAATTATTATTAAAATATAAATCAACATAGAATATTTAAAATGTTTACCACTAGTGGCCAGGAGATCAGGATAGACTCCCTTGGAGTCAGGAATCCACATGATCTTAGTTGTGGGGTATGGATGGTCAAAAGTGCTTTTAGCACTGAATTCACTTGTCTCTTCATCTAGCGATATAATTTGTACCTGTTGGCAATAAATTTATTGTGTAATTTAATAATACATGTTCACAATATACTACAATTACTATCACAACAAGATGTTTGCAACAACTAATAAAATACTTAATTTGTAAATATCTTTGTATAATAATATTTATTATATTAGCAGTGTAAGAAGTACAATATAACTTTTAAATGTACACATCTTACCTTGTTATTATATTCTTCTACAAAACTTCCAAGGGCAAGTCTGAACCTCTTGTCTGGCCGCACTGACCAGTTCATTGAATATAGAGGCCATGGTGCTTGATATCTATGTTATAATATGTATAATGTAAAAGTTAGTGAGTTTTACAATAAGGTATACAAATTTTATATTAACAACTTTGCAATTTATTTTAATTGAAATTACTTGTAAATAACTAGATTGGCAATAAAAATACATTAAATGTTTTTATATCGAATTTAGATTATAAATACGTAATTACAAATGAATTATTGCGTTAATTTCCTGGATTTTGTAACAAAGTTATATGTACAGTATCATTAGTACCAAGTCTAATATCGAATATTTAATATTTCAAGTGAGATATTTATTTTAATATTATATTATTATACTCACTTATAAATTTCCTTGCGTTTTGTGCTCGAACTTGTCGTACTGGAACTGCTATGTGGCATTGACATGTTTCTTTGATTAAATAAAAGCTTTCTTTAAATTAGCAAATAATATACGAATGGATTTATTTTAATGTAGATATCGGTACATTTACAGTCTAAATATTATTCAAAGCCAATCATACACAATGTAAATAAATGAAGCGGTACGGTTTCAGGTAGTTTTCTTAGAATATCAGCGCACGAAAGTAAGCTATTTTATCAACAGAATGTTATTTTGACGAAAGTATTTCTTTAATTTATGAAATATTTATTAGTAAATAGCATATATTTAACGTGTTTTTTAAGTTAACACATGTAAATTGAGCATTATTTTTACACAAGTGACGTACATCTTGACATTTAAAATATTAACAAAAATTGCCATATAGCAAAAATAATGAAGTGGTTCACACAATTTAGAAAAATGGGCAATTTTAAAATATTAAAAATAATATATAAACATTTGGTTTTAAATTAATTAGTACTTTTATTAGTTTTGTAATCATAAAAAATTTAAAATATGATGTATTATATTTATAAGTATTATCATGAGCTGCTGCCATCTGACGAGCATTATCGGATTTAGCAATCATTTAAAAATAATATAATATTATTACTATTTATTATTTTCTAATTTCTATCTATGGGTAGGTCGGTTTTAAATATTATTTCTACCTATGTTAACAAAAATAAAATCTCATTCTTCTCTAATATCTATAGAGATTTAATCATATGAGAAGTTACCAACAGCGATTCGTTAGAGCAAGTGCAGTGTTCTTTGTCTCCCCGTTTTAAATTATATTTCAAGTGTTTTCGTTATTAATTCTTAATTGTTTTTACCATGGACATAGCTTTATGATGTATTCTCTAATTGAACAGTTAATAAACGTGCAAGAGGAATGGTTTTCTGACTTATTTACAAGTTATAGTTAAAATCGTTATAACCCAGTGACATTGAATCGACTTTGTGCGTACGAAGGTCAATGAACTCAGTCTTCGTTGTGTCGGCGTCTACATTATAAGATCGACAGTTCGACCATTAGAAGTAACGAAGCTTGGCCTTGTGGTAGCATAAGTAGCTTTTTACAACCGCGCATCATCGCGATACATCCGTGCAACCTAGGTTCAAATCCAAGTCGGACGAAATTTCTAAATTTATTATAAACTAGCATTGCCCGCGGCTCCGCCCGCGTTCAGATGACCAAAAACTAAATTCTTAGGTGTTACATATTAGTATACTCTTACATTGCAGTTTTTGTATTTTTCCTCAGAAATAAGATATTTTCCCGCGGTAAAAAGTATCCTAGGATCGCGCGCTACATCGCCCGGTTTATATAGCTTGAGCAGGCGGTCGAGCGATGCGGGGCAGAGGGGATGGACTCGCCGTAGGCATCTCAATGCTCGCCAAGCATTAAAAATGTTTCGCTACTAATTACTTCTAACAACGATATCTCAAAAACTATTCATCTGATTGATTTAGTGTAAAGAGCAATTTTAATCTGCATTAAATGACTAAGCTAACTAAAATATTCATTTGGATAAGGATTAATACCGAACTAAAGAAAATAACTTTGAAAATAACGTAATGTTTTTAATTAAAAATGTTAACATAAAAGTGGTTATTGTAAGTCAACCGTAAGAGATAGAGATATGCTATCGCGGACTTTTTTGTAGCATTTTTATAGATTTTGAATTCTCTAGTACATTACTTAACTGTATCTTTGCTAGTTTACGCGGCGTTCGCGTGGAAAGTTCCCATTTGGCGAGATTTTTTGCGACCTCTTCAACATTTGTCGCCGTATTTCAGCTAATTTACATAAAAGCATAATAAATTATATACCTAAACCTTCCTCAAGAATTACTCTTTCTATTGTTGAAAACCGTATAAAAATCCGTTCAGTAGTTTTCGAGTTTATCGCGTACAGACAGACAGGAGGACAGACAGGAGGACAGAAAGACGCGGCCGGGGGACTTATTTTTATAATAAGTATAGATTTACGTTTGTGGAATAATTTATATCTTTATAATTTAAAATGAAATACGCTTGTTGTAAATCCACGGCAGGAGGCGCCACTGAGGGAGTTACTTGTATAAAGTGCGGTTTAAAGTATCACTATAATTGTGTTAACCCGTCAGGCACAAATAACAAGCTAAATCAAGATAAAAGTAAATGGATCTGCCCGGAATGCAAGTCATCTATGCCCAGACAAGTGAACCAAGATAACACACCAGTGCACGGTGGCACCTCTAATACTAAATATAATTATAGCGAGAATGTAAATTTACAACGAGGTGGTTCGACTTCTGCAGGGGTCTCACCATGTCAATCAGTAGAATCTGAAGCCTCATTTTTGGAACAAGTTAGACTTATAGTATCTTCGGAAATCTCCACTCTTAGAACCGAACTCATTTCTTCCCTAGCTCCTTTGCAATGCGATCTCAAAAGTTTACGGGAGGAGGTTTGTAGTTTTAAAGATAGCTTAGATTTCTTTAACAACAAATTTGAAGAGTTTACCACCAGAATCACCAATTGCGAATCCAAAATCAAATATATGTCGGAGAGATGTTTGGAATTAAATTCATTAAAGTCTAAAGTTGAGGCCATCGAGATCGAAAATAATAATCGCGAGCAGTGGTCTCGCAGATCTAATGTAGAGGTATATGGGATTCCCGAAAAGAAAAACGAGAACCTTGTAACTATACTACAAGACATCGCTGACAAAGCTGATTTGAATCTTGACATGAAAACGGACATTGATCTAGTCACAAGAGTTGCTTCCAAGGACAAAGATGTAAAGAGAGTTAAGCCCATAATCGTAAAGTTTCTTTGCCGATGGAAGAAAGATGACTTTCTGTCTCGAGTGAGAAAACTTAAACTAAAATGTAATGACATTGGTTTTTCATCTAATAATAATTACATATATTTTAATGATCATCTAACTAGCTCAAATAAGTCATTACTTCAATTGGTAAAGAAAACCGCTAAAGAAAAATCTTATAAATATGTATGGGTCAAAAATTGTAGTATAATGGTACGTCGGAGTGATACTAGTCCTGTTTTGCATATTGCTAATTTCTGCGATTTAAAAAAGATTGCTTAAGCGCTACCAGACACTGCTCAATTGTTATTTTTTATGTCATGTTTTACCCTCTTAATTATATTATACTAGTTCTTCTGGTGTTGGCTTCGATTGATTTTTATATATTACTCGTTTTTGTTTTATTTATGGATTATCATAACTATTTGTTTCGCTTAAGTTTAGACAAAATATTTTGCGCTATTTTTGCTTTTAGAATTATATCATTGTTGCTTGATTATAATTTATCATTTTTTCTTGTTTTGTTTATAAGTTACCATAATTACTTGCTTCGCTTACATTTGGACATAATATTTTGCGCTGTTTTTGTTTCCAGAATTATATCATTATTATTTGTGTTACAAGAACGACAAAAATGTGTGTGTAATGTGTGTGTAAATATATTACGTAAAATTGTGTATGTGATTTGCAATGGCTAATAATCTTAACATTATTTATCAGAACGTTCGAGGACTCCGGTCTAAAACAAATATTTTCTACAGATCTCTTATAAAGTTTGACTGCGATATAGTGTGCCTTAGCGAAACATGGCTAAATGATTCTATATTTGACTCTGAATATTTCGACAGTCGGTATTCCGTGTACAGAAGTGACCGTGATTACGCCTCACAGGGAAACAGCTTGGGTGGAGGTGTTTTAATTGCTACTAAATCACATCTACATATTCAATCTTCATCTGTGATTAAATTGATGAATTCCGCAGCGGAAGTGGTCAAAGTTTCTTTATCACTTGACTTGCTTCCGTCGTCCAAATTTTTACATTTATACTGTTGTTATTTCCCTCACAGTAAATACCAGTATGAAGCGATTTGTGAGTTTTTTGATTTGGTTTCTTCCGAATTAATTTTTCATCCCAATGATAACTTTTTAATAGTAGGTGATTTTAATATCTCAAATGCAGTTTGGAAATATGGTCAAAATAAAATGGTACTTCAGAATTTTTTCGATGATGACATACTCATAGGGTCAGTGTATCATTTCCTTAACTTTAACAATTTTAAACAATTTAACACTGTTCCCAACGCTAATAATAGATATCTTGATCTAGTGATGGGTAATTGTGAATGTTCAGTAATGAAATGTAATTATCCATTAGTTCCTGAGGACCCACATCATCCTACGTTACTTATTTCACCGAAAATATCCACTTCACAAACTATTACTACTGCTCCTCGTACTGTACGTTTGTTTCATATAGCGGATTACAATGCAATTAATAAAGTTTTAGCTGATATAGATTGGTCTGATATACTTAACGAGTCTGACATTGTAAACGCAGTTGATTTGTTTTATCAAATTATTAATAATGTTATTCGTGATATGATCCCAGTAAAAACCATTGTAGGTAATGACCGCTATCCGTTTTGGTACTCTAAGTCTCTTAAAAAAGTAGTCGCTGAAAAACTAAAATATCATAAAAAATGGAAAACTTATAATAGACTTAGTGACTATGATACTTTTGATCTGTTACGTGAAAGAGAAAAAAAGATACAAACCGTTTGTTACAATAGTTACATTTATAATTCTGAGCTTCAAATTAAAAAGAATAGTAAATATTTTTGGACATTTGTTAAGTCTAAACTTGCATCTAATAGCTTTCCTGAAACAATGTTTTATGATGAATCGATCGCTACTGGTGGCAATGCCATATGTCAACTTTTTGGTGAATACTTTAACTCAGTTTATGGACCGGATGTTCCTGGCAGTTCAACAGATGATGACTATGTTTCATCTAACTCCCATATATGTATTAGCTCCCTGACTGTTACTCAAGATACGGTTGAGAGATATTTAAAAGATCTTGATATTAGTAAGGGTTACGGACCAGATGGCCTTTCTCCCTTGTTTTTAAAATCATGTTGTGCTACCCTCGCGTATCCGATTCATTTATTGTTTAATAAATCACTAACAACTGGTGTAATGCCTGCT